TGGAAACCCTATGAGGCAGTTCTCCTCTGTCCTATAGGGTCGCTAGGAGTTGAAATCGACTTGACCACAATGGTTTTTTTTTTTTTTTTTTTTTTGGCTATAACCATTAAGGAACCCTGGTGGTGCAACCGTTAAGCACTGGGCTGCTAACCAAAAGGTTGGCAGTTCAAACTCACCCAGTGACTCTTCAGGATAAAGACCTGGTGATCTGCTTCCATAAAGAAAGGAAACCCTATGGGGCAGTTCTACTCTGTCACATGGGGTCGCTATGAGTTGGAATCAACTTGACAGCACCCAATAACAGCGACATCCTTTGTAAGGTCTCAATTTCCCATTCGGTGGTGGCGAACAGTGGTTTACATAATCCAGAACAGCACTATTTGTTTTTTCTTTATAGCTTGGAAAAGTTTCACATCTGATTTTGTTTGCTTTTTCCAGATTGGGTTGTTTTTGGTTTTTGTTCTCAAATTAAAAAAAAAAATATTATGGTGTATGTATCTAACATCAACTTTGCCGCCTCCTGTAGGGGTGGAGTCTTTAGCGCACCCAGCTGGTGAGATGGTTCTGGGTGGTGGGGCTGGTGGCAGGGGTTATCTGAAGCCATGAGGAGGAACACAGAGGCAGTGGGAGAGCTGGGGGCAGCCTTATCAAGGGGGAGCCAGACAGGCAAGGGAAGCCAAGGGCACTGGTGGGTGGAGAAAGCAGGGAGAGGCCAGCCTGGGGAAGAGGCTGGGCTAGGGGCTGTTGCGGGCTCCTGACCAGCTGCCCTTGACTTCTCGCCCAAGCTTGGTGTGGGGGAGGGCCCAAGCTTGGTGTGGGGGAGGGCGGGCTTGGTCTCAAGGACTTGGCCGGGATTGACAGAGCGGGTCATTCTGATTTGTTTCCTAGGAGGCTCCGCAGCTAGATCCGAAGGCAACTTCAGAGAGTTTCAGAAATGTTTTCTACACTGGCAGCCGTTGAAGCAGCATTTGAATAAACGACTTTTTAAGATTAACTCTTAGAGAATAACTTTTACCTAGATGTTTACATTAAAAAAACAAACAACCAAAAAACTATCAATTTAAATAGAATAATTTTGCAAAGTCATTTTGCCTTTCTGTTTACCAGTGACAGAACACCTAAAAAATAATAGTGGCAACAGATACTGTTTAATCTTTGGGAAATGAAAGAGAGCTATTAAAGGAAAAAATTTAAATCTTAGTAGGAAAGATAGGACAAGACTTGAATAAATGGAGAGCTTTTCCTGTTGTAGAATCCAAAGATTTTACTTAGGATGACATGCTTCACAGCCAATCTAATTCACAGAGTTAACACAAATTCTCAACATGATATTTTATGGCAATTGACAAAAGGCTAATAAAACATATATCTATATCTATAAATTTAAACCCATTGCCATCGAGTAGATTCCAACTCATAGCAACCCTATAGGGCAGAGTGGAACTGCCCCATAGGGTTTCCAAGGAGCAGCTGGTGGATTCAAACTGCTCGCCTTTGGTTAGCAGCTGAGCTCTTAACTACTGCACCACCAGGGCTCCAAAACTTATATAGAGGAACTAATAATTAAGTAATGCCCTGGGGTGGCACAAATGGTCGAAAGGTTGGTGTTTGAACCCACGAGAGGCGCCTTGGATAAAGTTCACAGCCTTGAGAACCATATGGAGTACAGTTCTACTCTGCACACATGGGGTCGCCATGAGTTAGAGCTGACTGGACAGCAACTAACAACAAGAGTTAAGCCCACTACAGAGTCTTTGGAAAAGGATCAAGCCCACTGATATGGTATATTAACTCTGTTAATATTTACAATCTGACACAAGATCATTTAAATTATACGGAGTTGAATGCAAAACAGTAGATTGATAAACACAGTAGGGATTCCAAAACCCAAAGTAAAGCCATTGTCAGCCTAGTCGATTCCCACTGGTAGCAATCTTATAGGACAGTAGAACTGCCCACAGGGTTTCCAAGGCTGGAAATCTCTATGGAAGCAGACTGCCACATCTTTCTCCTGAGGAGCAGCTAGTGGGTTCGAACTGCCAACCTTTTGGTTAGCAGCCGAGTGCTTTAACCACTGTGCAGCCAGGTCTCTTATTGGGATTCCAGTAGCTCTAAACTTGTTAAAAGTTCACATACAATAGTCTAGGATAACAAAATAATAAGAAATTATATTTTATAGATGTCATAGAGAAAACTTGATATGAAACACTTATGTCCCTCTCCGACCCTGTGTGTCATAATAATCTTCAGGTGTTTTAAAGAATCAAAATTGAAAATATCTCCTTTATAAATGAAACAAAATGGTATATTATAGTTATCCAGCTGTGGGGTTGAATGAATTTTGCAAGTATTTAAACAGTAGGCTAAATTATGAATGGTGAGTTAGAAAGACCTAATAGTATTAAAAATTCAGCAACAACCACCTCAATAAATCCTTGATAAAAAGGAAAAAAAAAAAAAAAGGCAGAACTATTTGAACTAAACAAGGCTGGTAAAGATGAATATTCAAAAATATATAAAGAGGTCAGTACATACTCTCGATTCAACAAAGGATATGAACAAATGGTATAAATAAAAGGAAGCAGAAGCATCAAGCCAATAATTGGGAGTATTCCAGCATCCTGGTAATAAAGTGCAAATCAACAGAAGCGTGTTAAGAGTTAAGCTCTTGACTACAAGCCAAACAGTTGGTGGTTAGTACTCACCCAGAGGTGTCTCAGAAGACAGGCCTGGCTATCTGCTTCCAAAAGGTCACAGCGTTGAAAACCCTATGCAGTAGTTCTACTCTGCACACATGGGGTGGCCGTGAGTCAGAATTAACTCCACAGCAACTAACAGCAACAACAACACGATTCACTTGAAGATGTTGTTGAAAGGTAGATTTTGATTCAGTGGGACTAGGGTGGGACCTAAGATTCTGAATTTTTGACAAGCTAGAGGTGATGGTGATGCTACTGGTTCTTCCACTACACTCTGAAGAGCAAAGGTGGAAATCTTCGCTGTCCAATAGGGTAGCCACTAGTCATGAGTGGCTATTTAAATTAAAGTTAAATAAAATAAACTCAGTTCCTAAGTCTCACCGGCTATACTTCAAGTGCTCAGTAGCCACTTGTGCCTAGTGGCTCAAGTATCAGAAACTACAGAATATAGAACGTTTCCATTACCACAGAAAGTTCCATTGGACTGTGCTGATCTAAATCACGAATGTCTTTTAAACTGAAGGGGGTTTTCATGGTTTTTTTCCTGTAGATTTGTTTTAAATATACAATTAAGAGTTTGTTCCATTCCTCTGTAGTCGCACAAAATAAGGCATACATTGATATAGAAAACATACATGGGTATATACATTGTATATACATATATCGGTATAGAAGAGTTATATTGTTGCTCTTGTTAGGTGCTGTGGAGTCAATTTTGACTCATTGCAACCCCATGTGACAGAGTAGAACTGCCCCACAGGGTTTTCTAGGCTGTAACCTTTTTTTATATAATGTTTTTTTTATTTTCGTTGTTGTTGAGAATATTCACAGCAGAACATACACCAATTCAAAAACTTCTACGTGTACAATTCAGTGACATTGATTACAGTCTTCAAGTTGTTGCAACCATTCTCACCCTCCTTTTCCAAGTTGTTCCTCCCTCATTAACAGAAACTCACTGCCCTCTAAGTCTTCTATCTAATCTTTCAAGTCACTATTGTCAATTTGATCCCATATAAAAACCAAAACCTTGTTGCTGTCATGTTGATTCTGACTCATAGTGACCCTATAGGATGGAGTAGAACTGCCCTATAGGGTTTCAGCTTTGGTTTGCAGCTGTAGCTCCTAACCACTACGCCACCAGGACTGCGAATCCCATACAGATAAATCTTAAAAGAGCACAGTGTTCAAGGCTGACATTCTTTACTAGCTAAACTAAACTATTGTTTGGTTTTAAGGAGCCTTCATGGGATATTTTCGGTTTACGTTTTAAAGATTATCTCAGGGCAATAGTTTCAGGGGTTCATCTAGTCTCCATGGCTCCAGAAATCTGGATTCCATACGAATTTGAAATTTTGTTCTGCCATTCCCCTCTTTTGATTAGTATTCTTCCATCGAATCTTTGATCAAAGTGCTCAGTAATGGTATCTGGGCACCATCCAATTCTTCGGGTCTCTTGCTAAAGGAGGCAGTTGTTAATGGAGGCAAGTTAGCCACAAATTCCATTTTGTCCTATATTCCTGACGCTCCTTCCTCTGTTGCTTCAAGTGAATAGAAACTGATTGTTGTGCCTTGAATGGCCACTTCAAGCTTTCAAGACCCCAGGCACTACTCAATAGACTGTAATCTTTATAGGAGCACATGGCCAGGTCTTTCTCCTGTGGAGCCGCTGGGTGGGTTTGAACCACCAGTCTTTCCATTAGCAGCCAAGCGCTTAACCATTGCTCCACCTGGGCTCCTCCGAAGACATGTAGCAATGACAAAATTCATATAATTAAAATGCTTGATAAATGAAATTCTCTTTTCCTGTTGATTTTTATTGTCAATCAGTAGATACGTTATTGTAATTATTCTTTGTTTCTTATTGAGCAATCATTGATTGTTTTTACATTCCTTCAGCTGATACTTCAGAGTGCCTGCTAAGAAGGGTGTTACATAATGGAGGTGGCAGTGGACCAGACACACTCCCTGCCCTCCAAAAACTTAGACATGTCACACTTGCTTATTGGTCCAGTTGGGAGGATTTTTGTTTTCTTTATGTTGAGGTGTAATCCATACTGAAGCCTGTGGTCTTTGATCTTCATCAGTAAGTGCTTCAAGTCCTCTTCACTTTCAGCAAGCAAAGTTGTGTCATCTGCGTAACGCAGGTTGTTAATGAGTCTTCCTCCAATCCTGATGCCGTGCTCTTTTTCACACAGTCCATCTTCTTGGATTATTTGCCCAGCATACAGATTGAATAAGTATAGTGAAAGGATACAACCCTCACGCACACCTGTCTTGACTGTAAACAGGTTTATATATGTGTGCAAATTGTGTGGAAAATATTCACCTCCACCCCATCTATCGGTGTCATAAATTTTACTTTTTACTGTGCATGCTTTCGGCAGGACTTACTTGTATTAGTTATCAAAGGGCATAGGTTTTGATCTTCCATGACAGAAAGTTAAACGGGAGATTTCTTTTTCTTTACTTCTGTGAAGTGGGGACACCGACAACTGCTGTGTTTTCTTCCAGGAATTTATGTAAATATTCTCATGAGGTCCTCTCAGAAGACAACTTCAGAGTCCTGAAAAACCATGAGCTCTCTGGACTTAACCAAGAGGAATTAGCTGTGCTCCTTGTCCAAAGCGACCCGTTTTTTATGCCTGAGGTAAGTTACGGCTCCTCTGTTAGAAAGCAGGGAGAACCTTACTCGCAGTGTTGTGTGGTAGAAATGCTGGAGCAGGATCAGGAGACATGAAGGTTAGCCCCAGGGCTCTGCAGATGGCAGTTGACGCTGCTGCTGAGTGACCGAAGAGATTCCCGCAATTTCCCTCCCATTTGACGTTTTGTAAGAAGTTGAGTCTGAAATGCCTCGTCCGCTAGGCTGCTAGGGAACCCTGTGTGAGCAAGTAGGATCTGAAGATGTAATAGTGGAAGGGCTGATTGGTGCTCTACATCAGGGTGGCCTCGTGGGAGAGGTGGACTTTGAGAAGAGGTTTGGAAGATGACTGTACGTACTGGAGGCCTGGTGGCGCAACAGTTAAGTGCTCGGCTGCTAACCGAAAGGTTGGTGGTTTGAATCCACCCAGCCGCTCTTCAGGAGAAAAGACCTGGAGATCTGCTCTCATAAAGATTACAGCCTAGGAAGCCCTATGGGGCAGTTCTACCCTGTCACATGGGGTTGCTATGAGTCGAAAATTGACTCAACCGCACCGAACAATAACAACAACAAGCTGTTGTAACAAAACAAAACAAACCAAATCAGTTTCCTAGAGTCAGTTCTAACTCATGGTGACCTCAGGTGTGCAAGAGAAGGGTGAAGCAGCTGGGGCTGGGGTGGGGACAAGGACCTTTGAGAGCCACAGGGAACGTTCCCTTACTTTTCGAGTCTCTCAACAGTCTTGACTCTGCCATTAGCAACCTGTGTGATCTTGGACAAGGCGTTCAACCCCTTCGGGTCTCACTTCCTCTGTTGTTTGTTTTTACATTCCTTCAGCTGATACTTCAGAGCGCTGCTAAGCAGGGTGTTACATAACGCAGGTGGCAGTGGACCAGACACACTTCCTGCCCTTCAAAAACTTAGACATGTTCACCTTTTTTCACTTTGCCTTGACTGGTGAGAACCAAGAGCATTGGGTAAACCTGATTTCCTGGTATACAAAAAAATGAAACCGAACCAGTTGCCGTTGAGTCAATTCTGACTCATGGCGACCCTCAGTGTTACAGGGTAGAACTGCTCCGTAGGGTTTTCTTGGCTGTAATCTTTACAAAGCAGATCCTCAGAGGTTTCTTCCGAGGTGCTGCTGGGTGGGTTTGAACCACCGACCTTTAGACTAGAAGTCAAGCACAACCGTTTGCACTGCCCAAGGACCATACCTGGTATATAAACTTGTCCAGTTGAAATGTGCTTATAACCAGAGGAAATGCTTTCCTTTGTCCTGGCCTAATGAGGGTGGTAGCACTCTTGCTTAAACATCAGCTTGTCAGTAGAAACGTTAACCTAAGCATGCTTTGTGAAGTTGCTAAATGTTCTTTTGGGTGAGAGCCTCTAAGAGCGTGGTTTTCCAACTTGAAGCCAGCATCAGAATCATTTTGAACTTGGTAGAGGACAGATTGCTGGGCCCACCTGTCTTGGAGGGTTTTAACTTAAGAGTAACTAAAGAAATGCTCAGGTTTGTCATGCATAAACTCATTTAGTTTATTGCAAGGTAGTTATGGCAAGGCACGCAGGTAAGACCTCAAGATATTTATCTAGCACCGGAGAATCAGAATTGGCAGTTACAATGTTAGTTTAAATGTTAGAGTCCAAATCTTTAGACTTCAGGCTTTTAGCTTTAATGAGTGTCTCAGGAGGAGAATTGACCGCCCCTTGAACACAGAGAAGGTCGCTCGTAGGTAGAGTCCGAGGTCGGTTGTGGTGAGCTGTATCTCAGCGGGCTGTCAGTCTTCAGACGGAAAGGCAGAGAGAGCTTTTGCTTCTGTCTTCTCGGAAAATGAGCAGAAATCAAGGTTTATATACCACGTGTGCTGTCATGTTCAACTATAATTGGTGTGTTTTATGGCCAGTTGAGGGCATTGTTGTAAGACATATTTATGCTTTGCTAATTTATAGAAATTGGAATTATTGCGAGTTAGGGCATGACATATTTATGTTCTTTTTTATGACATATGCTTCAAAGCCAAGCTAATTAATGAAAAATTATGGGAATGGCTTCGTGACATATTTATGTTTTGCTAACTTACAGAGATTTGATTAATATACATTCCGTTCTCACAGAGTGCAGGTGCATGGCTGGATTTCAGAAAGTTATTTATGACACATTTTATCTGTTCTCAAGGTTAGAACAACTTTCTAATGGCTTACCGTTATTGGTTAGAGAGCGTTACAGAAATATATGTGTTTCTTTTTCTAAGTTCAGAACTTCTCTATTTCTAACTTCATGTTATAAGTGATTTATACATAGGATTTTAGAAGCATTATGAAAACATGATCTTTACAGTGTAAAAAGTGTCACAGAAGTATACATACTAGTGACTTACACATCGGTGTGTAGAAGGATTATGAAAATGCTGTAGCAGTGTAAAAAGCATTATAGATGCATGCATAACAGCAGGGTGATTCCATAGCATCACAAGAGTGCACACAAGACCACCTCAGCAGGTTCTGACTCTGCAGGTGTAGGGTGGCACCTCAGGGTTTGCACTGCTGAGAAGTGCCCCGGTGGTGTTGATGCTGCTGGTTCAGGGACCACTCCTTGTGAGGCAACCGCCAGTAGAGTCTGGAATCTAGATCATAGACTCTGTAGCAAGTATGTCTATTTGAATCGGGTTGTAGAAGCTGTGTGAGTGGCGAAGTCATTGCTGCTGGAGTCTGAATCCTTGTCTTTGCCACTTGCCCAGCTCGCAGTGAACCATGTTGCTCTGATTTGCTCAGAGTCTATTGAAATAATGTATCAATGTTTGCATAACCTTTAAGATGCCTGAAATTCACATCCCTCACTCCTTTATATGGGCTTCCTAGTTTAATGATTTAAACACTTGCATGACACTTTATGGTTTGCACAAAATTTTCACGTGTTATATTTGATCTGCAACAACTTGGTTTAGGGGGTATTAAATGACAGATAGATTCTGGAGTTGAGTTATAGAAATTATAACAGATTTGAATGGGAAGGAAACCAATGGCTGCAGCAAGGAAGCCTGGCGCTCAAGAGGAGAGGCCGTGGACTTCAATTTGAGAAACAGCTGTTTCCGTTTATAAGAAGCTTTCAGAGCGATAGTTGGAAAAAAGGAATAGGCTCTGGAACATTGTCATTTAAGCCAAGGTGGGTCCCTTAGAAGTGGGGGCAAGTTCGTGATTGGGCCACGTGTCCTTTCTTTCATCTGTAATATATGCAGGGTTTCTTGACTTTATTGTGATGAAGTCTCAGGGAAGGTGGGTTTGGAAAATACCAATTAAGTAAGGTTTAGAGATGGAAGAAGGACCTCGGGTGGCACAAACGATTTGTGCTTGTCTCTAACCTGAAGGTTGGTGCTTCGAACTCACCCAGTGGCACCCCAGACCTGGCGGTCTGCTCCCGTAAAGATTACAGCTAAGGAAACCCCACGGGGCAGTTCTGCTCTGTCCTGTGCGGTCGCCATGAGTCAGAACGGACTTGATGGCACCCAGCAACAGCAGTTCACCTCCTTTCCTCCTTCCGCAGATATGTAAGAGCTACAAGGGCGAGGGCAGGCAGCAGATCTGCAGCCAGCAGCCGCCCTGCGAGAAACTCCACATCTGCGAGCACTTCACGCGCGGGAACTGCAGTTACTCCAACTGCCTGCGCTCCCACAACCTGCTGGACCGGAAGGTGCTGGCCGCCATGCGGGAGCACGGGCTCGACCACAGCGTGGTACGCAACATCCAGGACATCTGCAACAGCAAGCACGCCCGGGGCCGGAGGAACCCGCCCGGCAGGAGAGGTGGGGGCTGGAGGGCACTGCGGGAGGGCGGCTGGGGAGGGCGGGAGAGGGGGTACAGGTGAGGGCCGCCGCTTTTAATCATTGGAGCTTTCAAGTGAACAGAAACTGCAAAGAGAAAGAAAGCTCTATAGGTGTCTTAGTTACTATAACAGAAGTCCACAAGAAGACGGCTTTAACAAACAAATTTATTCTCTCACAGTTTAGGAGGCTAGACGTCAGAATTCAGGGCGCTGGCTCCAGGGGAAGGCGTTCTGTCTGTGGGCTCTGGACGAAGGTCCTTGTCTCTTTTGAGCTTCTGCTTCTGGGCGATCTCCATGTGACATTGCATCTACCTTCCACTCTTTTTGTGCTTAACCTGCTCCTTTGTATCTCAGAAGAGATTGGCTTAAAACACACCCTACATTAATACAGCCTCTTTAACATACCAAAGAAAACTCTTTCCCAAATGGGATTATGCCCACAGGCATAGAGGTTAGGATTTATAACACCTATTTTTGGGGGGACACAATTCAACCCATAACACTGTGTGTGAGAGAGAAGTCTTTACGTATTAGCTTTTCTAGCTCATCTACTTAACTGTTCCGGTGACAGGAGCAGGGCGTGTGCTTTGACTGTATTACTGCTGCCCCCAGGTTTGGAAGAGAAGGGACCTCTTTTCCTCCCTTTTTCCACAGGAGCTGTGCACACAGGCAGACAGTCACCCCACACATATACCTCACATGTGTACATACCACAGAAATACACCACATACACACTACACACTCCTCAGGGCACACACACCATGTACATGCACATTACACACACACAGTCCTCACCCATGTGCATACCACACATACATGCACACCACATACATGCACACCTCACATACACATCCCATACATACCACACACACCACATATACCACACCATACACATCTCAGAATCACACACACCATACACACATACCACACACACATCTCACACATGTAAATAACATACACATACCACACATACACACACACCTCACATACCACACAGAAATATGTGCACACTTCATACCTGCATACTTTACACACAGACACACCACATACCCCACACACATAACTCATGCAGACTTCACAGCACATTCTACACATACACCATACATGCATACCACAGACACGTGCCCCCACAGACAGGCACATTGCACACATACACCGTACACGCATACCACACACACATGCCCCCACAGACGGGCACATTGCACACATACACCGTACATGCATACCACACACACGTGCCCCCACAGACGGGCACATTGCACACATACACCGTACATGCATACCACACACATGCCGCCACAGACGGGCACATTGTACGCATACACCATGCCTGGATACCACACACACGCCGCCCACAGACAGGCACATTTCACACATACTGCGCACCACATACGCATGCATGCCTTACAACACACATCACGTGCATATCTCACACACACACACCACATTCATGTATAACTCACACATGCACACCTCACACATGCACATGCAGCACACTCGCACTTACACCTCACACACATCTCACACGTGCAAACACCTCTCACACACCTCACACACATACCTCACAGACACACACCTAACAGATGCACACTTGTGACACTCACGTGTATACCTCACGCATGCACATACACCACACTCACACACGTACCTCATACATACCTCACACATGCAAATACGTCTCACACATACCTCACAGACATACACCTCACACGCACAAATACCACACTCACACATATGCCTCACGCTCACCTCACACATGCACACATACTACACTCACACATATACCTTACACACACCTCACACGCACACCTCGCACACCACACACACCTCACACATGTACACATACCACTCACACGTATACCTTACACACACACCTCACACATGCACACACACCACATTCACACGTATACCTCACACGCATGTCACTCACACATATACCTCAAACACACACGCACCTCACACGCACAAACACCACACTCACACATATACCTCACACACACACATCTCACACATGCACACCCCACATGTGCACACGCTCATTCACTCCTCTCCACCTCAGGGAAGGGTGTGACTCATCAAGTTCATAGAGAGAGGCCAACTCCCTCTGGGATGCCCCTTTGTCTATTTTGAATTTTCATACTGGTCATTTAAGCTTGGGCGTTGAGGGGTTAGATGAAGAAATCTGACAAATGTCTAGTTCAAACAGAGTCAGGCCTTCAGAATGTGGTTTCATTTCTTTGTCTTAAGTATTGTGGTGGCACACACTCAGTCACATGAACTCTAATTGTCATCTTCCTGTTTGCTTTGGCTTTTCCTAGCCCTTCCCTCACATCGTCGAGATGTGGGATACAGAGGCAGAAGCAAAAGTCGAGACAGGGTTTTTCAGGGCCATCAGGAATTTTTTCCGCCCGCCAACGCCTCTTGCCAAAGGTCCTGCACATCCAGTCCCGATGTGACCAGCAGCAGGCCACCCCTGGACGACGACGTGATTGTGGAGGATCTCAATCACAGATTGACGCATCTCGGGAGTCAGGATAGCTCTCCACCTTCCCCAGTCTCACCGAAGGCCACCAGTTTTGCAGGAACAGGTCAAATGGGAGCAAATCACAGGTTTTCAGAGAACAACAGTCAAGAGGGTCTCTATAGGAATCAGGGCAACATTCGTCCTGTTTCCGATTCAACGCCAGCCTCCAACCGGAAGGAGCCCACATCCTGGGTGAATGGCCAAGGCACCGGGCGAGAAAGTTTGTTTTCTCAAGGTCCACCTACCGCCTTCCCACGAAAAAGCACAAGCGTGCTTTCCTCAGACTGCGTGGACATCAAGGGTGAAAGCCGATACCGTGAGATCCAGCACTTCTCTCTTTTTAACAGTACAGTTGATGGAACAGCCACGGATCCATCTTCCACAAGATCTTCAGGTTACAAGACCACAGCCAGTAGACAGAGGGAGGAATCATTACAGAGGAAGCAGGACACCGGAACCTTTCATGGGAATCGACAAGTCACTGGTGAGATTGCAGATGCTGATCCAGGTGTGGGATTTGTGAACGATCTTACCTTTCCGAAGACTTATCAGGCTGCCAGATATGTCCACAATGCGCTGAATGACTCTGTGAAAGTGATGGATGAAACTACAGATGGAGAGAAAACTGGTGCCATTGGTTTCAGCTTAAGGGTGGCAGCCAAAGAGGATAAAGATGTATTTCCCTCCGGAAGTCAGAGTCTGCGAAGCCAGTGCTTTCCCACGCCGGGGGAGACCATGGCCCCTGCAGAAGTCAGCAGTCCATCAACGGTATCACCTTCCCCAAGCCACAGAGCTGCAGCCTATGGGATCGGTAGTCACAGCTCTGCCCACATCTCTGTGACCCCTGCCACTGGATTTACAACACGGAGGACCCAAGAGTCAGCTCTCTGTAAGTCACTGTAGGAAAAGGGGGGCTGCTGTGTCTTGTGCCAGCAGCAGGGGACGGTGGCTGGAGGTTGCTCCCTGAACGCGCACCAGCAGTTATTAGGGCTTAGAGTTAGATGGTTTGGATTAAGGGGTGGTACTGTTGAGGAGATGGACACGTGAAGGCAGGGAAGGACTACCCAGGAGAAGCAGTGGAATAAGCTGCTGCATTTATTGAAAAGAGGAATAGTTCGACCATGGTTTAAGAAGTAAATATAACCCTCACATGTTTCCTTTCATGGAGAGGCTATCTAGACACTCGTGAGCAACATATAAATCACAGGAATTTTCTTGAGCATGGTCCCAGCTTCGGATATTCTATCCCATTGCACTGCCAGGTGTCTTGGTTTTTTGGTTTAAACACTGATCTCAACGTAGGGACATCCTTTTTCGTTTTGTAGATACCTTATCCGACGTTACCAGTACCGCGTCTTCCAAGATAGACGATGGCTCAGAAGAAATTTGTCTTGACTATCTGGGTAACGGCTGTCAACTTAGTGAGTACCCTAAGGACTTTCTATGAACAGAAACTTAATTGATAATAATATGACCAACATTTACTGAGCTTTTAGTATATGCCAAGTGCAATGCTTCGAGCCTCGCGTGCACTTTCTTTAAGCCTCACGTCAACCCTGTAGGTAGATGCTGTTGTTGTGGAAACTGGAGGCATACAAAAGTAGCCAAGTTGGGTTTTGACCTTAAATTGTCCAACCAGCCTGTGTTCTTCATCACTGCATAATATTATGTCTTTTTTTGCAATTAGAAATAATAGAAAAATCCTGATCAAAAGAGGGGAGAAAATGAAGAATAGAATTTCAAATTCTCATGGACTCCAGACTTTCTGGAGCCAGGGAGGCTAGATAAACCTGCAAAACTATTTCCCTGAGATAATCTTTAAACCTTAAACCAAAAATATCCCCCGGAGTCGTTCGTAAACCTTCACAGGTGAAGCATTTTACTCAATCAGGGATCCATCTTTTCATGTACTAAGAGCAAACAAACGAACCAACAAAATCACACACACATGCACACACAACACGCACACACAAACCCCAAGTATACTAAAAGATAGATTTTTAAAAAATAATTTATTTATTTTTTTGTCATTGAGGATATTCATAGCAAAACATACACCAATTCAACAATTTCTACCTGTACAATTCAGTGGCGTTGATTACATTCTGCAAGTTGTGCAACCATTCTCACCCACCTTTTCCAAATTGTTTCTCCCCCATTAAAACTGACGGCCCCCTAAGCTTCCTATCTAACCTTTCAAGTTGATGTTGTCAGTTTGATCCGATGTAGATAGATCTTAAAAGAGCACAATGCTCAAGGCAGATAGTCTTTACTAATTAAGCTAAACTATTGTTTGGTTTACACAAGATTTCAGGGGATATTTTTGGTTTAAGGTTTAAAGATTATCTCAGGGCAATAATTTTGGAGATTTATCCAGCCTCCATGGCTCCAGAAAGTCTGGAATCCACGAGAATTTGAAATCCTATTCCTCATTTTCTACCCCCCTTTTGATCAGGATTTTTCTATAGAATATTTGATCAAAACGTTCAGTAGTGGTAGCTGGGCACCGTTCAGTTCTTCTGGTCTCGTGACAAAGGTGGCAGTCGCTCATGGGGGCAATTAGCCGCACATTTCCATTTCCTCCTCCTATCCCTGACTCTCTTTATTTCTCCCAACAGACAGGTTTTTAACGTTCGTTTCTTGGCGTGATTTAGATGTAGTCTTTCTTCTGGGCCAGTGGGCTCTTAGCAGTTGCTCCTCACCCTGTCCTGTGTCTCGCCTGCTCACTGTCCCCTCCAGGCAGCTTCCTATGGAAACGTGTTCCATGAGACCGTGTGTAGGGTACAGTGCTGTCCTCTCACCCACATACCTCTTTCTGCTGTTGCCCTCCGTCCCGGGCCGTGACATTGTGTCTGGCGTTATCTGCATGGTCTCTAGACCATTCCTTCCGTGGTCTGTGATGTGTTGGCCCCGAGTCTCAACAGGAGGACTCTGTATTTCCTAAGTCATTTTAAGGTTAAATATGTTGTTTAACCTTTTTAAACAACATATTTATAAATTATTGTGATTCGTTTTTATTGTTGAAAACGTAGACATTTTATCTGCTACCAGAAAGATAATTTAAAAAAAAAAATCACCCATATACCCACCACTCTGTCAGTCTGCTAGCATTCTGGCATTTTTCTTTCCATTTTTTCTATTTTTTTAATTGCAAAATTGGGACACAACTGTATCTTGTTTTTTGATTATATTCTGAATATTTCTCTGTGTCATTTAACATTCTTTGTAAACATTTTAATGGTTTATAAAGCATCATATGGATGTGCCATTATTTATTTAACCATTTCCCCATTGTTAAATATTGTTTCCAGTTTCTTTCTTTTTTTCTTTCTGCTATTATAAACAATGCTGTGATGAACATCTTTATATATAATTCTTATCTTCAGCTCTAGCGCAGGTTGTTTTTATGCAGCTTTGAAACAAATGTCTTTAATACCATACGCTTCTGATAACTTTTAAAGACAACATACTCCCTCCTCAGACCCCCCCTAGAAAAAATGCAACAGAAACTGAGTAATAGGCAGGTGGTCTCATAGAAAGGCTGTGGCTTAGAGTCAGACAGACTTAGGTTCCAACCTAGCTTCTCTGGGCTTTAGTTCCCTCATCTGCCTGCTTCCAGGGGTAGTGCTGAGGGTGACATGCCTGGTGTAGGGACTGCCTTGTAAGAGGCTCTATTATAAAAGGAATGTTTGACTCCCTTTCAGGCTGCATTGGGCTTCCCTAGACTTAGTCGTTCCATTGCTAGCATCTCTGCTGAGATGGTGTCTTCTAGGTTTGACCGGGATAGCATGCTCAAGTTGGGTTTAAATTATCTGTCTTTAAGAATTAAAAAAAAAAAAAATCAGAGAGATAGGTGATAAAGGAACCTGATTGCTGGATACTAGTTGCCAGTTGCCATTGAGTCGACCCTGACCCATGCCAACCCCCACGTGTGTCAGAGTAGAACTGTGCTCTGTAGGGTTGATGGTGGCTGATATTTCAGAAGTAGATCACCAGGCTTTTCTTCCGAGGCACCTCTGGGTGGATTCAAACCTCCAACCTTTCAGTTAGCAGCTGAGCATCTTAACCATTTGCAACACCCAGGACTACAGATACTGGATGGGGACATGTGAGCAGGGCCTGCATGAGCAAAGGCAGAAAGGGAATGTGCTTGCCAGCAGGGCGGGACCAGCAGGCCTGGTGGGGATGGAAGGTCCGCAGTGAACTTGGTTGATGTGGTCAGAACCCCTGCTCAGCAGGCCCTCAGACTTCTTCTCTGTCTTTGTAGAGAAGTGCGGCAAAGTCCATTTCCACCTGCCCTACCGGTGGCAGATTCTGGTTGCGAACACCTGGATGGACCTTCAGCCCATGGAGAGGATCGAGGAGGCCTACTGTGACCCGAACAACTGTGTGTAAGTGGGTGGCTGTGCTCCGGCTCACCAGGGCCACGACATCACCCAGGGATTGCCTCGTGCTAGACTCGTGGGCAAAGAAAGCACAATTGTCCTTGAGAATCCCGTTCATATCTGAGATAAAAACGGCCAATGCTCTGCCAAGTTAACGAAGAGGAAATGTAAGCAGGGTGGATTTGAAATAACGCAGAGCCAGGCTGATACTAGGGGTTTGGGGAATATTTGCTAACTCAGCTGAAATAAACAGTGATGTGGTTATGTGTTTAGTTAATATTAGTCCGTGTGTCCTGTGGAAAAACATACAATGCCGAGGGTGGTTTGTATTCCTGTCGGCTCATCCTAGAACTCGTAAGTGATTTAGGACAAAATGGCCTTTGGCTTAATTCTATAAATTTAACACATTCTAGTGCAGAATTCTGTGTGGTATTAAAACAAACAACCAACCTAAAAAAACCAGAAAACCAAACCCATTGCCACTGAGTTGATTCCGACTCATAGAAAAACCCTATAGGACAGAGTAGAACTGCCCATAGGGTTTCCAAGGCTGTAGATCTTCATGGAAGAAAGACTACCACCTCTTTCTCCCACGGAGCAGCTGGTGAGTTCAAACTGCCTACCTTTCAGTTTGCAGCAGAGCGCTTTAACCACTGCACCACCAGGACTGCTTCTGAGTGGTATACTTGAGCATTTTCCACTTTCCTTTGTTTTGGTTATTTTCTCTATCCTAGAGGTATCCAAGAGAATGCCTTACCTTTCCGTTTTTGTCACAGCTAAAATGGGGATGCCACACGCGGCCGTATTCGCCAGTGATGCGCAGGTGTATAAGATGCATCCTAGTTTTATAAGGAAATTCTTTGGGGAAAACTTTTACATAATTTTCATCATATGCGAATTCAGTGAGTTTTTGGTAGGGGTTCTGTGTTGCAGTACTCTACCCCTAGAGGGCGACGTCAGCTGTTGCCTTGTTTCTAAACCTGTTGTCGAGGCAATTCGATGGCTGATTTTTTTGGAAGTAGATCACCAGGCCTTTCTTCCAAGGTGCCTCTGGATGGACTTGACCCACCAACCTTTTGGCTAGTGGCCGAGCACTTAACCATTTGGACCACCCAATAAAAGCCAAACCAAACCAGTTGCTGTCAACTCGACTCTGACTCAGGGCAACCTCTTGTGGGTCAGAGTAGAACCGTACTCCGTAGGGTTTTCAATGGCTGTGATCTTTTGGAAGTAGGTCACCAATTCTTTCTTCCAGTCTTGTTTCTAGGTGTAGTTTTTTCTTGGTAAATCTAGAGCAGGGTTTCTCAACCTCGGCAATATTGATATTTTGGGCCAGGTAATTCTTTGTTAGGAGCCCTGGTGGTGCAGTAGTTAAACCACTCAACTGCGAACCGAAAGGTCAGTGGTTCGAAACCACCAGAGGCTCGGTGGGAGAAAGATGTGGCAGTCTGCTTCCACGGAGATTTATGGCCTTGGAAACCCTACGGAGTTGCTAGGCATCGGAATCAACTCCTTGGCAGTGGGTTTTTTTTTTTTTTTAAATTCTTTCTCGTTGGGGGCTGTTTAGCAGCGTTCCTGGTCTCTACCCACTAGAAGCCAGTAAGCACTATTCCCCCTCCCCCCAGCTGTGACAACCAAAAATGTCTTCAGACATTGCCACATGTCCCCTGGGAGGCAAAATTGCCCTGGTTGAGAACCACAGATCTAGGAGCGTTTCTTAGAGCGGCAGTTCTCAAACCTTTTGGTCTCGGGGCCCCATTACACTCTTAGAATGTACTGAGGACCCCAAAGAGCTTTTGTTTATGTGGATTATAGCTATCAAGATCTACTGTATTAAAAATTAAACATGAGAAAAAATGAAACAGTTATTGATTCATTAAAAAAAAACCTATTACCAGTCAACGAAAATAACATGGATTTCTGAAAAATACCTGTGTTTTCCCAACACACACAAAAATTCTTGAGAAAAGTGACATCGTTTTATATTTTTGTAAATCTCTTTAATGCTTGGCTTAATAGAAAATAACTGGGTCCTCATATCTGCTTCTGCATTCCATTTATTGTGAAATCACGTATCACGTAGCCTCTGGAAAATTCCATGGTGCACTCAGGAGAGAATGAAGGTGAAAAGGGCAGGTGATGTCTGAACAGTATTATGAAAATAATTTTGACCTTGTAGACTCTCTGAAGGGGTCTCGGGCCACACTTGATAATGAACGTCTCAGAGTTAGCTCAAGGAGCCCTAGAGTTAGCTCAGTCATTAAATAATTTAAAAAACTGACCAACTGTGAGTTCTATATGCAGCAGATACATTGTAACATTCTAATGTCAAGTATTTTATATGCTGGGTACTCAACTTTCTGTCTATGAAAGAGGCACCTGGTACAACTTGATTTGGGGATACTTTTTGAGAGAACAGTACATTTTATGATAACATCAAATATGTGACTTAGGCAAGTTACTTTACCTCACTGTATTTCTTTTATGCGTAATAATAATCTGAAGTTGTAGAAAAAATGAAGATCCCTGTCAGCTCTGAAATTTTATTTCCACACTCTCACTAGGGAAGACCAGATTGTAGGAAACAGAGAACAATGTAGCATTTGGCTAACTGTAAACTTTTCTCTCTTAGCATTTCTATAGGGAGTCATAACATCAATTTCCAGGAAATGAGCTGTGATTTCAATCCCATCCGACGTCTCTCCACCCCCTCGTCTCGCACAAAGTTGGTCACGTCTGTCTTCGCCACAAAATGGATTTGGTATTGGAGAGACAAATCTGGAGACTGGATTCAGTATGGGGAGAAGGTGAGCATCCTTCTTCCTTGTGGGAGGCGCTTGTTTAAACCCGCCAACTCGGAAAGAAAACTATTAGAAAAAAATGTTTGGAGCCTGCGTGGTTACCCATGGAGAGTGGACGTGCTGGAGGACTGGTGCTTGTATACTGTGGACACGTGAGTCCGTGTCACCTCCCTCCCTCCTCACTGTCAGGGATGTGGTGGAACCTTGAGATAGCTTCCTATGTTTATAGACATACCAAGGTCACTGCTTGGAGCCAGAAAAAGGGGTAAGACGTCAGAAAACTGATAGAGCCTGGGTGCAGAGGGGCTTGAAGGACTGGAACCAGAAGGTTCTAGGCTTACTCAGAGAGGGGAGGTAGTAAAAGGAGGTAGGAGTTAGATGAGCAGAGCTTCTGTGTGTCTCTTCCTCCCTTTGCTTCGTGTGGTTGTTGTAGGTTGCTGTCGAGTTGGCTCTGACTCATGGCGGCCTTACGTATAACAGAATAAAACGTTGCCCAGTCCTGTACCATCAGCATGATCGTTGATATGTTGGAGTCCATTGTTGTGGCTATTGTGTGGGTACAAATGGTTAACGTGCTTGACTGCCAATTGAAAGGTTGGAGGTTCGAGTCCACCCAGAGGTGCCTTGGAAGAAAGGCCTGGCGATCTACTTCTGAAAACTCAGCCCTTGAAAACCCTATGGAGCACAGTTCTACTGTGACACACATGGGATCGCCATGAGTCGGGGTCAACTTGACAGCAGCTGGTTTGGGTTTTTTTTTCCAATTCATAGAATTAAAAACAGGAAGGGAGGAGATCTTACAATGAAACTGGAGTGAAGAGAAAGACAAAATAAAACGAGATTAAAATGAAGCTGGAGGGGGGGCAGTGATAAATGAAGCCAAAGAGAAAGTAGAGGCAAGGACATGCCATCTTTCTACACAGAGACCAGCACATGAGCCATCGATTGGCTCTGAGCTGCCCAGCTGCCAAAGCAAAGAGGGAAATACAATCTGTTACCAGAATTCCCTGTGCCTCTGTGATAAAACCACACCAGTTACCCAGGAGAAACACAGCTGTTTCCTGTCAGTGAGGCCTGAGATAAACATCTCGTATGGGGGCCACATAGACGGAACGGTGTGTGCGGCAGTGAATGAAGGTCCTCAACAATAGTCCTTCCATCAATACAGCAGCATAGTGGTCTCTAAACTGTTTTAGCAGCAGATTCATTTTATGAGACTATCTTTCCCAGAAACGCTAAATAAGCAAACTAGATTACGGCAGAGCTACCGTGTTGCAATAGGATAGGGGCTGAAAGTCCTGTCTGTCTCTTGGCCCCCTTCCTTTCTTCCGTGGTGGACTGTGGAGCACCTCTGTGGAGCCAAGGTTTTGCTGAACACGGGGAAACTGTGATGTTGAGCTTTGTGCAGGTTCTTTTCCTACTGCCCTTCAGTTCAAGCCAAGGATGATGTCAGTGCAGTTTAGTAAAAGCGATTCTGAGGTGCTGCAGAAACAGAAATTATAAACCCCAAATAACTGTTGTTGCTGTTGGCTGTTGTCGAGTCGGCCCCTGGCTCACGGCTCTAAACCAGGCTTTCTCATCTTGTGCTGGGCTGAAACAGCCCCTGGTGCCATGCTCTGTGCAAAGCAGAGTGATGGGTTCTGTCATGTAGCCAGTGTAGACACCTGTCACTGACGGCCATGCCAGTACCTCTGGACACGTGGCTTCTGTTTATGGAAGGTGGAAGAAATATTGCAAAGAGCTTTGTTTTTTTCAGACATCCCTCCAACATATATATGGGCAGTTTCTGCAGTGTAGACAGCCCCCTCCTCGTCACCATTAGGGAATAGACACCCGTTAAGCATAAGGCCAGTTCCTGCAGTGTAGACAGCCCCCTCCTAGGCACCATCAGGGAGTGAGCTACAAAGGGTCGTGACGTGGCTTCAGCCTGGAGTCCTTAGAAATGGGTTTGGGAGGCAAGATGCGCCCCTGTTGAGATTCCACGCCTGAAATAAAAATACGTAAGATAAAATGGTAGAGATTTCTTAAGAGCCTGCGTAAAGTCTTTACTTGCTTTTTTGTTTTAATTAGAAAGATAATCAGCAAATTTCAAACATCAACTCTTCATACATCGAGTCCCTGTTTCTCTCCTGCCCGCGAGGAATTGTGCAGTTTAAGGCAGGCTCAGAGGAGTACGAACTGAGTTTCCAAGGTGAGGTTTTGTGTTTGGCAACAGTGGGTGTCGCTCCAATCCAGCGTGGGGGTTAGAAGTGGGGTGGGGGCAGAGCGGACGCGCGTGCTGCTGCAGGATCAGGGTGGGCTGCCCGCCTTCCCCTCGTTCCTTTCAGTAAGGCCCGTGGTCTAGTGGAAGCCAGCGGCCGTCAGACTTGCCCTGGGGCCTTGGCTCTGACACACACTTGCTGTTCAGCTCGGGGACGTCACTGACCTCTCTGGGCCTCAGTCTCCTCATCTGTAAGATGGTGGGCACTGGGCTAGGTGATCTCTGGGCGTGCTTCCAACTGTGCTGCTCTGGGTCTCTGAATCTGGGTGGGCTGCTCCCCAGGCCGAGGCAGAGTTTTCCAGGGCTGATGACCAGCGCAGGGGCCTTGGGCCTTTGGGCACCTGCAGAGCTGTGGGACCTGCTTCTTCCTTTGAGACCTCATCCTCTGGGTCTGTGGTTTCATCCATCACACTGACTGCAGACACTGCCTTCCACCGTGTTTATCTGCGCAGCCGTGGAAAGGCCCTAAGGCTTCTGGTTAGCCTCTACTGGTCCTCCTGCTGTCTTCAGTAAAACAGCAGGCAGGGCCTGCGCTTCCTCTGAACACGCTGTCCCGTGGGCCTCAGCCCTGGGATGCTCCTTCATGTGGTCATGTACATGCCCATTCAGGACCAGCCCTGCAGGTCCTTGATGAGAGATAAATGAGAACCTTCTTGAGGCCTTGCCATTCCCAGGTGGTACCTACAGTTAAGGCATTTGGCTACTAACCAAAAGGTTGGAGGTTGGGGTCCCCCGAGGTGCTTTGGAAGAAAGGCCTGGCAATCCACTTCCAAAAACCCAGCCATTGAAAACCCTATGGGCAAAATTCTACTCTGCACACATGGTGTTGCCATGAGTCAGAGTTGACTCAGTGGCAACAGTTTGTTTGTTTTTTTATAATTTCCCTAAGATCTGAGCCCTATACTAATTCATGAGTCTTGAGTAAGACAGCTTAAAAAACCATCACACTAATTTTAGAAAACAACCTAGTAATACATATCAGGAGGCTTGTTCTTCATTCTCATGGGAAGTTTTCTAAGGAAATAATTCACCAGAAGGAAAACAGCTATAGGCATGAAGACATTTATTGAAGTCTTATCTGTAATACTAAAACATAGGAACACCCTGTGTACCGGTAGGGTGGGTGACTAAATCAATCCAAGTATTACATTTCAGTAGAGTTTTGGGCAGTTGTTAAAAATTATGATTAGGAAAACTATATAGCAAAGTCAGAAAATAGCTTAGTGGTTCCTTGGCAAGTTAAACACAGAGCTACCATTTGATCCAGGAATTCCACTCCTACGTATACAACCAGAAGAATGGAAGGCAGGAGTAGAAACGGATACTTGCATGCTAGTGTTCACTGCAGTGTTAGTCACAATAGAAAAAGGTGGAGATAGTTTACATGTCCACCCAAAGACGAGTGCATAAACAAAACGTGGTACGTACGTGCACTGGAGTATTACCCGGCCAGAAAGAGAAGTGAAGTCCTGATCCATGCGACAGCGTGGGGGAACCTTGACAACACTAAGCTGAGTGAAGTCAGTCAGTACCAAAGGACAAATATTGTTCATCTCACTTAGTGAAATCTCTGATATAGGCAAGTATATAGACACCAAAGCAGATTAGTGGTGACCAGGAGCAGGGTGGTGTGGGGGAGGGAAGGGGACTCAGTGCTTCGGGGACTCTGAGCTTTTAAGGTGATAGAGAAAGCTGGGAATGGTTCAGAACGATGGTTGAACCACAAGAAGGACATCATGTCACTGAACTGTCCATGTGAAGATTGTTGAAATGACCAGTGTTCTGTAACCTATATATTGACCACCATTTAGAAAAAAAAAAAAACCCATGTAGCAAAAGCTGAGTTTGATACTGTTAGATGAAAAAGGCAGAACTCCACATTTATGTTTGCTCGCCTTTCTGTTTATATGTTATATCTAAAATGGGAAAGGTTAACATTTTTGAACATGCGCTGTAATTGCATCAACCTATGCCTGTGAACCAAGACTGGAAGGCAACAGAGGAAAAAGGAAAATCTGTTACATTGGATCCCAAAACCAAACCCACTGCTGTCGAGCCCGACTCACAGCGACCCTACAGGACAGAGCAGAACTGCCCCACAGGGTTTCCAGGGAGCGGCTGGTGGATTCGAACTGCCGACCTTTTGGTTAGCAGCCAAGCTCTTAACCACCACGCCACCGGGACTCTGCTATATTGGTTGTAGAATTGAAAATGACTTAGGTTAAAAAAAAATTTCTTGGTAGTATGATATTGTTTGTACAATTTAAAAGAGTGGCAGAGAGGTAGGAAATAATGTACCTTGTTCCCGGGCTGGGAGCGATTTGACCAGTTACTTTTGTTAACTTGGTCCATAGACATCAGTTCAGAGTGTTTTGCAGCATTCCAGGATGTTTTTTCTATTTCCTTTCTAGACCACACGTGTATCGCGTCATTCCTGAAACTAATATTTGAGGGCCAGCTCTGTGCCAGGCATTGTTCTAGGTGCTGGCGCTGCTGTGGGGAACGTGTTCGCTTGGAGTCTGGATTCTAGAGGGTGGTGATAGACAGTAAGTGAGTGAGTAAGGCAGTTCCAGAAACGGATAACAGCTGTGAAGACAATGGAACAGGGTGGCGAGGCAGTGAGGGAGTTGGCGGGGGGCTGATACCGGGTGGGCAGCCTTTGGAAGGGAGGGACCCAGCCTTTGCACATAGGATGGGGGACATAACGGGCTGGCTGGGGCTCAGGCTGTGAGGGGCAGACAGGCTGGAGGTTTCAAAACACAGTACGACATCTACAGACAAGGAGAACCTGTGTACAGATAGTCCCCGAGTTACCGTGGGGGTCCATTCCCACAGCGCTGTCGTAAGACTGTTCTGAAGCATACGTTGAATACTTTTTTGTTTTGTTTTGATCATTATCACCTTTTATTATTAGTATCTTTATAAATCTGATCTTTATCTGTCTTTGGGGGTTGGAAACATTCCATACAAACTTAGAGATATATTTTAATACGTACATACATAGAAAATACACAAATTATAACAATTTACTCCAACGATGAAGAAGAGTTGATGATGTTGGCATTTGGTCAGTTGTGGTAATAACCCCACTTATGGAAGGTTCTGGATCATCTGGATTATCCCTGGGAATGGGGATGGCGTTTCTAGTCAGAAGATTAGTGAGAGTTGTCTGTAAGGTCTTTTTCTTTTTTTCTTCATATAATTTGTGGTAACATCTCACTGCTTCCTGAATCTGCCTGTCGACTTTAGCAAAGTGATCAGCATTTAAATCCATGTTTTCAAGCAACTGAAGTCCCTGATTTAGTTTAGAAAATATTTCAGCTAATCCTTCCACTGTAAAATTTTTGGACAGCTTTTCTTCTTCCTCTTCCTCATTGTTTCTTTTCTTCTGTTAGCATGTCTTTCCGCTTCAAAGCCTATCAAGTCCTGATCTGTCAACTCCCCTTCTTTGTGATCTATGAACTGTTCCACATCGGCGATATCAAATTACGCCCTTCGACACTGTATGTAGTACAGACTATTAACGATCAGACGTACCAAAAACAAACAAAGGGACGGTCGTAAGTGCAGTTCGCCGTAACTTGAATGTGCTTTAACCACTGCGCCGCCAGGGCTCCTGACGTGGGTCCATAACATGCACACATTGAAAATGACATTTCACACTTGATGTGGGAAGAAGCTTCCACATAGAGCTGCCACGTTCCACCCCGTAATCGTTGATGTTTGGCTTGAGGCTCCCTCAAGTGGTGGGTGTCTTGCTGTCTGGCTGCCCTTCCTCTCTTTACCACCTGCCTGTGACTTAAAGATGAGGTTGATCTCTGAGCACATTTACCTCATCCCCTTCTGAGTCTTATAACTACAGGCAGGGAAGGATGCCCGTCTTTATCATGGCCAGAAGGATTTTATCTACTCACCCATGTACCGTTCGGTCATGAACATTTGCTTTGTTATTAAAAACCAAAAACCACCCTTGTTACCAACTCATGGGCAACTCCACGTACATCAGAGGAGAACTGTGCACTATAAAGTTTTCTTGGTTGTAATCTTTATAGAAGCAGATTGCCAGCCCTGTCTTCTGCAGCACTGCTGAGTGGGTTGGAACCGACAGCCTTTAGGTTAGTAGCTGAGCGCAAACCAGCGAGAAATCGTCTTCTAGGACCAATTCTTGATTCTCGTTTGTTTTATTTTTTTCTGTCTAAAGGGATGATTCAGACAAACACAGCTTCCAAGACTCAAAAGGATGTCGCCAGAAGGCCACAATTTGTGTCTTCCCGGGGTGTAGAGGAGCTTCTAAAAGGGGCAGGGTAAGTGTCCTGACGCTGCGCTTGCTGGCAGACATTTGAGATGTTCATGCTCCAACCACACATCAGAGCCCTCATGTCTCTGGACTCTGTGTTCTGGAAAGTGTCTGCTGGCATGACGTGCCACATCCTTCTGCATTATCAGTGAATCGGGTGCTTTGTAAGGCAGCCTGATGTGGCTGACATAATACTAGACCAGGAAACCTGTGTTTCCCTCGGCCCAAGATGGCAGTCAGGCGAGTCCCTTAGTATTTCGGCTGTGAACGGCGGGATGAACAGGGTGTGCCTATGAAGTCGTCACGTACACTATTACTGGGTTTTGTTCTGCGCTGGGGTTCTGAGGAGCTTTCGTTTTGCTGTGTGGATTTATAGAGGGGTGGAGCACGTGGGAGGTGGATAAGCTCAGTGTTGAGGAGAAGGAAGGGATGAGGCAGCTGTCTGAGCACAGGCTTTGGGGAAGATAAAGTTGACTAAAGAGATTTGAGGGAGAGTTTTGCTGTTTTGGAATAGGAGTTCAACGTAACTCCCTTCCGCTGACTCATGAAACCACCAGTAAAATCTACATTATTCATCAAAATGTTCAGAGTTGAATATTTTTTTTTCTGGGCGATATGTGATTACGTGTAAATCAATACCAAAAAACCAACCTGCTGCCGTCGAGTCGATTCCGACTCATAGCGACCCTGTAGGACAGAGCAGAACTGCCCCATAGGGTTTCCGAGGAGTGGCTGGTGGATTTGAACTGCCGACCTTTTGGTTAGCAGCCGAGCTCTTAACCACTATGCCACCAGGGCTTCATATGTAAATCAAGGTGTTCTAATTAGGATTTCTTGGTTTTAAGAATTCAAGATATTCCACGAAAAGGAAAGTTAAAGAAAAACGACGTCTTATGAGAATCCAAGAATGGGAACTGAGCTATGTCGGGGCCACACGCATGAGGATTGGTCCTGACTCTGCTTTAGAATCTGAGCCACCTGGGGTCGCAGATCTGGACTGCCCGGGGTCGCATTCCTCTCTGCCACGTGTTGCTGTTGTTAGCTGCCAGAGTCAGCCAGCCCCCGACTCGTGGCGACCCCAGGTATGATGGAGGAAAACACTACCCTGTCCTGGGGCAGCCCCACGATTGCTTGCAGACCAGAACGTGGTGGTTCGCAGGGTTTTCATGGACTGATTTTCAGAAGCACATCGCCAGACCTTTCTTCCTAGCCCATCTTAGTCTGAAAGCTCCACTGAAACCGTTCCGCATCGCGGCAACGCGCCAGCCTCCACTGATTGTGTGGATCTGGACACGTTCACCGTTCTGCAGCGCCTCATCTAAAAAACAGGTGTTAAGAATGGACCTACTCAAGGCTGTTGTGATTTGCATGTGCAAGACAGGACAGTGGCTAGCGCTTCAGAGTGCTCAGGATATATGTGAGCCGCACTGTTACTACCTTTCCTCCTCTGCTATTAACAGACTCAGGGATCCTATCGTATCCCATAGATCCTATATGTTCTGCTCTCTGGCTAATGCTTGACTTATTTATTTGTTTTTATTGTGCTTTAGATGAAGGCTTACAGAGCAAATTAGTTTCTCGTTAAACAGTTGATACAATATTGTTTTGTGACATTGGTTGCCAACCCCTTGATGTGTCAACACCTCCCCTTCTCGACCTTGGGTTCCCCATTTCCATTCGTCCAGCTTTCCTGTAAAAATTTTCAAGTAAAATTTTACTGAAGATCACTCAAAGTGGCTGCAGCAGTATATCAACAGGGAACTGCTAGAAATTCAAGCCGGATTCAGAAGAGGATGTAGAACCAGGGATATCATTGCTCATGTCAGATGGATCCTGACGGAAAGCAGAGAATACCAGAAAGGTGTTTACCTGTGTTTTATTGACTATGCAAATGCATTTAACTGTGGATCATAACAAATTACGGATAACATTGCGAAGAATGGGAATTCCAGAACACTTAATTGTGCTCATAAGGAGCCTGTACGTGGATCAAGAGGCAGTCCTTTGAACAGAACAAGGGGATACTGCGTGGTTTAAAGTCAGGAAAGGTGTGCGTCAGGGTTGTATCCTTTCACCATACTTATTTAATCTATATGCTGAGCAAATAATCCGAGAAGCTGGACTATATGAAGAAGAATGGGGCACCAGGATTGGAGGAAGACTCATCAACAGCCTGCAATATGCAGATGACACAACCTTGCTTGCTGAAAGTGAAGAGGACTTGAAGCACTCACTGATGAAGATCAAAGACCACAGGCTTCAGTATGGATTACACCTCAACATAAAGAAAACAAAAATCCTCACAACTGGACCAATAAGCAGCATCATGATAAGCGGAGAAAAGATTGAAGTTGTCAAGGATTTCATTTGCCTTGGATCCATAATCAACACCCACGGAAGCAGCAGTCAAGAAATCAAAAGATGTATTGCATTGGACAAATCTGCTGCAAAAGACCTCTTTAAAGTGTTTAAAAGCAAAGATGTCACCTTGAAGACTAAGGTGTGCCTGACCCCAGCCATGGTGTTTTCAGTCTCCTCATATGCATGGGAAAGCTGGACAATGAATAAGGAAGACCGAAGAAGAATTGACGCATTTGAATCGTGGTGTTGGCAAAGCATATCGAATATACCATGGACTGCCAGAAGAATGAACAAATCTGTCTTGGAAGAAGTACAACTAGAATGCTTCTTATAAGCAAGAGTGGCAAGATTATATCTCACATATGTTGAACATGTTATCAAGAAGTACCAGTCCCTGGAAAAGAACATCATCCTTGGTAAAGTAGAGGGTCACCAAAAAAGAAGACGACCTTCAAGGAGATGGATTGACACAGTGGCTGCAACAATGGGCTTAAGCATAACAACGATTGTGAGGATGGCGCAGGAGGACCGGGCAGCGTTGCATTCTGTTGGGGTTGCTATGAGTCGGAACCGACTCAGCGGCACCTAACAACAACAAGTTTTAATGTCCCCTCCTGCCTTCTTGTCCTTGCCCCTGGGCTGGTGCACCCATTTGGTCTTGTATACATGGTTGAGCTATGTGTAGTATTGTTTGCTTTATGGGCCTGTCTAACCTTTGGCTGAAGGGTGAACCTCAGGAGTGACTTCAGTACTGAGTTAGGAGGGTGTCTGGGGGCCATACTCTCGGAGTTTCTCCAGCCTCTGTCTGACCAGTAAGTCTGGTCTTCTTTTCTGAGTTAGAATTTTGTTCTCCATTTTTCTCCAGCTCTGTCTGGGACTGTCTATTGTGGTCCCTGTCGGAGTGGGCAGTGGTGATAGCTGGGTGCCATCTCATTGTGCTGACCTCAGTCTGGTGGAGGCTGTGATAATTATGGTCCATGCTTTACTTATTTTTAACTTCAAAACTCCCATCTGCATATCCCTTCAGCCTCATCTCCTGCCACTGCCTAGTTTTCTTGGAATTTCTTCATTCAGATTCCCAAGAATTGGACTCAGATCAGCCTAGCTATCTAAGGTCCCTTCCAGTTGTTTTAACATTCAGGTTAATAAAGTGAAAATAGTGCAGTGTTGGGGGGAAGGAGGAGTCAAGTTCATGTCCTCTTGGAGTTTACATTCCTGTGGATGTGACCATGGAAGTAACTGTTTCAGTCAGGGACAAGTATAAGATGGGGGAAAAAGCCAAGTAAGAGGTTAGGGGTGCTATTTGCATTCAGCTAATGAATGAGATCTTCATAGCTGCTTCTTGGAGTCCCTGAGTGGTACAAACTGTTAAGCATTTGACTGCTAACTGAGAGGCTGGAGGTTCAAGTCCGCCCAGATATCCCTCAGAAGAAAGGCCTGGAGATCTAGTACTGAAAACAGCCATTAAAACCTCTATGAAGCACCGTTCTATGCTGACACATACGGGGGTGCCATGAGGTGGAGTCGACGTAACAGCAACTGGTTTACTGATTTAACTGCTTCTTATTCACTAAAATCGCTCTGGTAGGATGTCTTACCAAATTTTGTTTAAACAGTATTTCTTTAAAGCAACAAAGCTGATTTTAAAAAATAAGTCGTGTAATTTTGACTTTGTAACAATTATATGGGGAAGAGATAGTTTCTTTAACAAATGGTGCTAGCAAAATTGGATATCCGTTTGCAGAAAAATGGAACAAGATCCATACCTCACACCATACACAAAAACCAACTCAAAATGGATCAAAAACCTAAATGTTAAACCTAAAACTATAAAGTTCATGGAAGAAAACATAGGGACAAAGCTAAGGACCCTAATTTATGGCATAAATAGACTATCAAACATAACTAAAAATGTACAAACAAGAGAAGATAATCTACATATCTGGGAGCTCCTAAAAATTAAACACTTATGTTCATCAAAAGACTTCACCAAAAGAGTAAAAAGAGAACCTACAGACTGGGAAAACATTTTTGCAATGGCACATCTGACAAGGGTCTAATCTCTAAAATGTGTAGAAAACTTCAATGCCTCAACAACAAAAAGACAAATAATCCAAATAAAAAACGGGCAAAGGACATGAACAGACACTTCACCAAAGAAGACATTCAGGCGGCTAACAAACACATGAAGACATGCTCATGATCTGTAGCCATTAGAGAAATGCAAATCAACACTACAATGAGTCCCCACCTCACCCCAGCAACAATGGCACTGATCAAAAAAACAGAAGACAACAAATGCCGGTGAGGTTGTGGAGAGATTGGAACTCTTTTTCACTGCTGGTGGGACTGTAAAAATGGCACAACCACTATGGAAAATAGTACGGTGCTTCCTTTAAAAGCTAGAAATAGAAATAACATACGATCTAGCAATCCCACTCCTAGATATATATCCTAGAGAAATAAGAGCTGTGACATGAATAGACATATGCACACCCATGTTCATTGCAGCATTATTCACAATAGCAAAAAGATGGAAACAACCTAAGAGTCCATCAGTGGATAAATGGATAAACAAATTGTGGTACATATATGCAATGGATTACTATGCGACAACAAAGAATAATGAAGAATCCATGAAACATCTCACAACATGAATGAATCTGAAGGACATTATACTGAGTGAAATAAGTCAGTTACAAAAGGACAAATACTATGTGAGACCACAATTATAAAAAGTCAAGAACAGTTTTACGCACAGAAAGAAACATTCTTCAGTGGTTTCCAAGGATGGGGGGGGGAGAGAGAGAGAATCATTTACGAGATAATAGACATGTGTTAGTTCTGGTGAAGGGAAAGGCGCTACGTAACACGGGGGAAGTCAGCACAACATGACCAAGGCAAAGGAAGACACTGAGTGGTACCCACGAATAAAGGGCAACTGCGGTAGATGCTATAACATATACAATCCTGCAACAGCAGTAAGAACAAGTAATTTGTGAAGGGATACATAGGTAGATATGTATGCTAAAGTGGTGTGGAAGGTCATATGGGAGTACACCCACGTGCATACATAGGTATGGTTGTAGATATTTCTATATATGTATTTGTATGTGCTACATGTATATTCATATATATAATAGACCACGTGGGGTCACAGGTATGGAAACGTCTTAGACGTAACCAAACACCTCGAGGGACTGAGTGACTGGGCTTGAAAGCTAAGGACCACAGTCTCGGGGGGACATCTAGGTCAATTGGCATAACAGTTCTTAAAGATACATTCTACATTCTCCTTTGGAGAGTAGTGTCTGGGGTCTTAAAAGCTTTCGAGCAGCCATCTAAGATACAACTATTGGTCTTTTTCCATCTAGAGCAAAGGAGAGTGAAGAAAACCAAAAGACTCAAGGGAGCAATTAGTCCAAAGGACTAATGACCCACATGAACAACAGCCTCCTCTAGCCTGAGACCAGAAGAACTAGATGGTGCCTGGCTACCACTACCGACTACTCTGACCAGGAACACAATAGAAGGTCCCGGTTAGAATGGGTGAAAAATGTAGAACAAAATTCAAATTCATAAAATAGACCAGACTTACTGGTCTGATGGAGACTTGGAGGAACTCCCAAGACTGTCATCCTAAGACATCTTTCTAAATTGGAACTGAAGCCACTCCCAGAGCCCACCTTTCAGCCAAATAATAGACTGTCCTATAAAGTAAACAGCAACACCGTGAGGAATGTGCTCCTTAGAACAATCAACTCTACGGGGCCAAAAGGGCAACATTTGCCCAAAAGCAAAGATGAGAAGGCAGGGAGGGGGCAGGGAAACCGGACCAATGGAAACGAACCCAGGGGAGAAATGGGGAGAGTCTTGACACATTGCGGAGATTGCAACCAATGTCATGGAACAATTTGTGTATGAATTATTGACTGGAAAACAAATCTGCTGTGTAAACTCTGACCTAAAGCACAATAAAATTTTCAAAAAACAAAGCGTGTGGGTTTTCCTGACGCCAAGCTGTACGGTTCTTTCTGTGCACATTAATTGTCGAGAGAAGACATTGGTTTGTGGCATTTCCAAGTATCTCATGTCGTCAGCCCGTAGTCTGTCTCAACAGTTTGCATGTCACGGTTGTCTCACGCTTGTCCTTCTATTCTTTTCCCTGCCAGAAACATCTTCCTCATCACTCCCATAGTCCAGCATCTGCATAGCCCAGCTCCACCGCCACTTTTCCCATAAAAACTTTACTGGCCAGTGCATTTTTTAAGCACAATTACTAGTACATCTCCACCAGGAATATGTGGAGCCCTGGTGGCGTACTGGTTAAGAGCTCGGCTGCTAACCAAAAGGTTGGCTGTTCAAATCCACCAGCTGCTTTTGGGAAACCCTCCGGGGCAGTTCTTCTCTGTCCTGTAGGGTCACTATGAGTCGGAACCGGCTCGACGGCACCTAATAACGACACTGCTACATCTCTACCAGGATTATGTAGAGATACAGTCCAAAGAAAATTACAGAAACAAACATCCTGAATTTCTCAAGGAAACCCTGGCTTAGTGGCCGGAAGTTAAGGACAGAATGTCCCTTGGGCATATGGAGCAGAGAGCCAAACGAATCTTTACTCTTTCGTATTTGTAGCTGTGAGCCGGCACCATCCCCGTCTGTAACCTCGAACGTTCCTCCGTTGGACCATCCCTCTCTGCCCCTAAATGGATATAAGGTAATGGCTTTTTTATACTTCGGTGGGTGAATGTTTTGAAGGTGGGGAAGAGTGCTTTGGTACAAGAGTGTGTATTTGCGTGTTCGTATAATTGCTTCCAGAACTCTTGGAGCAAAATTCAAAGGAAGAAATCTGAGTGGTGATGACACCCCCCTCTCCTTCCCCAGTTTCAGCCAACCCTGTCGGGCACCTCAGGATTGACAGGCTCGGCCACACGCCATCTCATTGGGGCAGATCCTCGTAATAGCCCTGTGAGATAGATAAATCTATGACTTTTAAAAAAAATTGATGCCAGGTTCACATAATATAAAACTAACCATTTTGAAGTGGACAGTTCGGTGGCATTGATTAATTTCAGTATGTTGTGCAACCACCACCTCTATCTAGTTCTAAACAATTTTCATCAGCCCTAAAGGAAAACCCGCCCCTAGTCAGCCGTTAAACGGTTAATCCCTTCCTCGCCCACCCTCTGCCCATCCTTGGCAACCACTAAGCTTTTTTTGGTCTCCATGGATTTACCTATTTTGGATTTTTCCTATAAATGGAATAAGTATCTCTGTTTTAAGAACAGGGGCCCTAGTGGTACAGTGGTTAAAGCGCCCAGCTGCTAACTGAAAGGTCCGCAGTTCAAACTCACCAGCTGCTCCAAGGGAGAAATATGTGGCAATCTACTTCCGTAAAGATTTGTAACCTTGGAAACCTATGGGGTTGCTATGAGTTGGAATCAACTCAACGGCAATCAGTTTGGTTTATTTTAAGAACAAGTAAACTAGAACTCAGAGAGTAAAAGTGACTTGTCCACTGTTGTTGTTAGGTGCCGTCAAGTCGGTTCTGACCCGTAGCAACCCTGTGTGCAACAGAATGAAACACTGCCCCGTCCTGTGCCATCCTCACAGTCGTTGTTATGTTTGAGCCCATTGTAGCAACCGCTGTGTCAATGCATCTCGTTGAGGATCTTCCTCTTTTTCACTCACCATTTACTTTACCAAGCATGATGTCCTTCTCCAGGGACTGGTCCCTCCTGATAACATGTCCAAAGTAGGTGAGATGAAGTCTCTTCATCCTCTCTTCTAAAGAGCACTCTGGCTGTACTTCTAAGACAGATTTGCTCATTTTTCTGGCAGTCTGTGGTATACTCAATATTCTTCACCACCACTATACTTGAAAGGCATCGATTCTTCTTTGGTCTTCCTTATTCATTGTCCAGCTTTCACATGCATATGAAGCGATTGAAAATACAATGGCTTGGGTCAGATGCACCTTAGTCCTCAAAGTGACATCTTTGCTTTTTAACATTTTAAAGACGTCTTTTGCAGTAGATTTGCCCAAAGCAATAATACATCCTTTGATTTCTTGACTCCTGCTTCCATGGGCGTTGACTGTGGATCCTTGACAACTTCAATCTTTTCTGTTTTTCATGATGTTGCTTATTGGTCCTGTTGTGAGGATTTTGGTTTTCTTGATGTTGAGGTGTGATCCATACTGAAGGCTGTGGTCTTTGACTTCCAGCAAGCAAGGTTGTGTCATTTGCATATCCCAGGTTGTTAATGAGCCTTCCTTCAATCCTGATGCCGCATGCTTCTTCATATAGTCTAGCTTCTCGGGTTATTTGCTCAGTATACAGATTGAATAAGTATGGTGAAAGGATCCAACCCTGACGCACCCCTTTCCTGATTTTAAACCACGCAGTATCCCCTTGTTGTGTTCAAACGACCACCTCTTGGTCAGTCCATTAGTTGGAGTTAAAAAGCAGGTTTCTGTGGAAGTCAGACAAATGGTGCCCCATCCAAATGGTTGGGTGAGATTATCCCTGTGTCGTCTGCCCCCCTCATGAGTGCTCCAGCTGTGGGTGCAGGCAGAGCTCTGCTTGGGCTCCAGGTACCTCTGATCCTGCCCTGGTTCAGGAGCATTAGGCCAGGAATTCGCCACATCACTGGACTCAGTCACATACGTGGGGCCTCCCTTTGCCTTCCATAGCCATGATGGGTTGTTGGCCTTCCATCTGCCTGAACAGATGGCCTCCGGTGCTTTTCTGGTCACCCCTGGAGTGAGCTGCCAGAGGTGGCACCCCTGAGCCGGCTTATCCCACCTGCTGATCCCACCGAGGCCTGGCAATGATTCTCCATGGCCTAGGGGGCCACACGTGTGGACATACCATGCTTGAAATGTATCCTGTTTCACATTAAAAAAAATAATTTTTTTTTTTAGTTGTCAATAATCGGTGACCAACTTCCAGAGTATACCACTATAAGTGAGAGCTTTAAAGCCTCCATGAAAAATTTCAAGATTGAAAAGATAAAGAAGATCCATAACCCAAAGCTGTTGGATGCTTTTCAAAGGTCAGTGGCTGCTTGAGCTGATTTCCTTACATAAAGTTAGCAGGAATTACTTAAGGTCTGTTCTTTGAGATTTGTATTCACCGATTGATTTTAGTCACCAACAGTTTCTTCAATCTCTGGTCATTTTTTCGTCACGTAAACCTGAGCTTCTCTCTTTCAGCTTTATAATTTCACAATCAAGTAATTGTATGGGTGTATCATGTAAAAGTTTTTATAAATATGCTTTTCACAGCTACTGCCTTAATGTTCATAACTTCATTCTGAAAGCTGGTACAAGAAGATTTGACCACGATTAGACTTTAGCTGGGATTAATGTTATTAACCAGAGTGGGAGAGGGGAGTTCTCGGTATTAAGTCTCCTGTTTCCTGTATTAGGAAAAAATCGAAGATGAAGAATCCCAACGAGAGAATCCTGTTTTCTGCAGCGAACCGCAGCCATGTGGATTCTATCTGTGCGTATAACTTCGACTGGACCTTACACGGCACTCATGACACCAGATACGGAAGAGGTTTGTGCTGGAATGGAGAAGGCTAATTAGTGGAGTTGTAGTTCAGGCGCTAGAATGTTTTTACTATAAGATGTATGTAATTATTTTGCTTTACCAGCATATCCAGGCTTTAGCAGTTGTCTTGGGGTTCTCAAAGAAACAGAATCGTTGAGATATACGTATATATATCACCGATAGAGAAAGAAAGAGAGACACATTGATTTACTTCGTGGAATTTGTTTACGCGATTGTGGGGTACCAGCAAGTCCCAAATCTGTAGGTCAGGTGACAGGAAAAGTGAGGTGAGAATTCTGCCAAAATGTCTATTTATAGTCTAGAGGCACAGTACACCCTAGGGAAACTTCCTTTTTGCTCTTAAAGCCTTCAACTGATGGACTGATTACATTACATTAGACTACATTATGGAAGGTGATTACATTATATGAGATTACATTAAAGCCCGGGTGGTGCAAACAGTTAAGCACTGAGCTGCCAGCTGAATGGTTGGTGGTTTGAACCCAAGCAGAGGCTCTTCAGAAGACAGGCCTGGTGATCGCCTTCCAAAAGGTCACAGGCATGAAAACCCTATGGAACAATTCTACTCTGCACACATGGGGTTGCCATGAGTTGGAATCAACTCAAAGGCAGCTAACAACCACAGACTACATGAAATGGAAGGTAATTTGCTTTCATTAAGGCCAGCTGACTTCATCACATGTAACTACTCCATAACAGCATCTAGTCTAGTGTTTGGCCAGACAACTGGGAACCATAGCCTAGCCAAGCTGACACATACAATTAACCATTACAGCAGTCTGCAGTCATCACCCAGTTCTGGCCATGGTCTTCCTGACTCATGTCCACGCCTGCCTGTGCTTGCAGACCACTCCATCTGCTGTATGCAGTCATCACCCAGTTCTGGCCGTGGTCTTCCTGACTCATGTCCACAGTTGCTCATGCTTGTAAACCACTCTGCTGTCTGCAGTCATTAGTCATATCTTTCTGTGGTCTTCCTGACTATGTCCACGCCTGCCTGTGCTTGCAGACCACTCCATCTGCTGTATGCAGTCATCACCCAGTTCTGGCCATGGTCTTCCTGACTCATGTCCATGCTTGCCCATCCTTACAAGCCACTCCATCTGCTGTCTGCAGTCTTCACCCAGTTCTGGCCATGGTTTTCTTGACTCAGGTCCACGCCTGGGAAGCCAAGTGAAGCAGCCTTCTGTTGCCACTGATGGGTTCTAACTAAAAATGGGGAGAAGGCCCTCTCCCCATCCCAGCCATGCTGTATCACTGGGGGCCTGAGGTATCACAGGTCTGCCCCCACACAAAATCTCTTCAGCTTTTCCTCTTTGTTCCTGAACTCCTGCATGCAACTCTTCAAAAAACAAACCACTGCTCATCTTTGTGGAATTTATCACAGTTTCATATAGGCTAAATTCGTATGGCTAACATTAAATTCATACACATCCTAAAAAAGCATGAAGCCTAGTAGTCAGTCATACCTATCATCAAACCTCAACATTTTCTATATGAAGTGGAGAGTGGTGACTTCAGGGATTTCCACAAGAGCACCAGGTGTGTTAAAGGTTCCTTTCTCATCATTTTTCCTTATATAAGAATTATTTATCAAGGGGGTGTATTGAAGTCTCTACATCTAAAGACAAGAGCTGCTTGCTTTTTAGAAGATGTCTCCCCAACAGTTGTACATATTCCATATTTTATTAAGCCCATCTTACGCACCAGGCACCATCTTACATTCTGGGGATGCAGACTTTTCCCGTGGAGCTAACATTCTAAGCTGTGCTGAACAATATGGTAGCCACTAGCCATATGTGGCCATTTAATTTTTTTTAAATACTTTGTTTTATTTTAGTTTTGTTGTTCTTGTTGAGAATATACTCAGCAAAACATATACCAAGTCAACAGTTTCTACATGTCCCATTCAGTGACACTGATTGCGTTGAGTTGTGCAACCATTCTCACCCCCCTTTCTGAGTTGTTCCTACTCCATTAACATAAACTCTCTGCCCTCTAAGTTTCCTATCTAATCTTTCCAGTTGCTATTGTCGATTTGATTCCATATAGATAAATCTTAAAAGAGCACAATGCTCAAGGGAGACAGTCATTACTATTTAAGCTAAACTATTGTTTCATTTTAAGAAGACTTTGGGGGATATTTTTGGTTTAAGGTTTAAAGATTATCTCAGGGCAATAGTTTCAGGGGTTCATCCAGCCTCCATGGCTCCAGAAAGCCTGGAGTCCATGAGAATTTGAAATTTTATTCTGCATTTTCCCCCTTTTGATCAGGACTCATCTGTGGAATCTCTGATCAAAATTTCAGTAATGGCAGCTGAGCACCATCCAGTTCTTCTGGTCTCATGGCAAAAGTGGCAGTTGTTCATGGAGGCAATTAGCCACACATTCCATATCCTCCTCCTATTCCTGACTCTTTCTTCCTCTGTTACTCCGGGCGAATAGAGACCAATTGCTGTGCCTAGCCATTTAAGTTTAAATTAATAAAAATTCAATAAAGTTAAACATTTAGCTCCTCATTTGCACTATCCACATTTCAAGTGCTCAGTAGCTACACACTGGTTATGGTATTGGACAGTGTGGATATAAAACATTTCCACCAGCCCAGAAATTTCTATTAGCAGGTGTCTTAGTTATCTGGTGCTGCTGTAACAGAAACACCACAAGTGGATGGTTTTAATGAAGAGAAGTTTATTTCCTCCTAGTTAAAGTAGGCTAAAAGTCCAAATTCAGGGTGTCAGGTCCAGGGGAAGGCTTTGTCTCTCTGTTGGCCTTCTTCTCTTCTGTGTTCCCCTGGACTAGGAGCTTCTCTGCTCAGGGACCCCGGTCCAGAGGATGCGCTCTGCTCCCAGCACTGCTTTCTTGATGGTATGAGGTCCCCCTCTTCTCTCTGCTCACTTCTGTCTTTTATATCTCAAGACTTTGCCTCAGGTACAATCCAATCTTGTAGACTGAGTCCTGCCTCACTAACACAACTGCCGCCCATCCTCCCTCATTAACATCATAGGGGCAGGATTTACAACATATAGGAAAATCACACAATACCAGGAATCATGGCCCAGCCAAACTGATACACACATTTTTGGGGGGACATAATTCAATCCATGACAGCAGGAAACCCTGGTGGCGTAGTGGTTAAGAACTACGGCTGCTAACCAAAAGTTGGCAGTTCAAATCCACCAGACACTCCTTGGAAACTCTATGGTGGTTCTACCCTGTCCTATAGGGTCGCTATGAGTCGGAATCGACTCTATGGCAATGGGTTAGGTTTTTTGTTTTTGTTTTTTTTAATGGTTTCTCCAACAAATTAATAACACATAAAAAATGAAGGGAGTGTTGTCGAATAAAATGGACTTAAGAGGCCTAACCACCAAATGCAGCATATGACCCTCCTTTGGCTCCTGATTAGAACAGACTACTTGTGTAAAAGGACATCTTTCAGACAATCGGAGAAATTTACATGTGGATAGCTTATTAGATATTTAGGAACCATTGTTAATTCTGCTTTGTGTGCTAATGACATGGAGGTTGGTTATGTATAAAGAACTGCATGGAAAAAAAGCACCATGTTTTGACAATGTGATCCTGGTACATCAATTGATTGAATGAACGAAAAACGGAATCAAAGTAGATTGCAGAAAAGCAGCATGTTATGAAGTTGAAGTGAGATCTCTAGGACAAAGAAAAGCTAGCTAGGCCAAAAACTAAAAAAAAGTCGGGAGGAGAGTGCTTGGGTAAGACAGGAGCTTCACAAAGGCCAGGGGAGGCTGGAGACAGCATGGCACGTTTAAGGAGCTGGCAGAAGTCATGTGGTGGAAGTGACAAAGAGGAGGCTGGAGCTGTAAGCTGAGGAAGATCCTGAAAGCCCTTGCAATTCCTGTTAGGGGATAGATTTTTATCTAGAGGGCGCTGGTCACCACCCGACGGCTTTAGAAGGTGAATGACCCGGACTGGAGGTGGAGAGACCCATGGGGATGCATCAAGAGTCCAGGCCAGAAATGAGGGTGTCCTGGGCCAACGTGGTGGCAGTGGGGACGAAGAGGATGCTGCGGTTCAGGAGGTCTATTCCTTGAGAGGGGTGTTTGCAACAGCAAAACAGTTCAGGTCTTAAGAGTGGGCTACAAGGTTGGGTCAGGGTTGGATCATTGAAGCAAATGTACAGTGCAAATTATATAAGCTTTGATTAAAAAACCCCTGAAGTTACTTACAGCGATGGTTTTTCTTTTCCGAATGAACAATGATAAAGACATCCTCCAAAGCTCTTTAATAGCTGCCTGAAGAATCAATTTTTCACTGATGTCCCAAGTCTTTGATTCAGTTAGCATTGATAAGCACAGTCATCAAATATTCAAATCAACATTCAGACTTCCTTCCAAAATAAAAAATTCAGTTGAACGAGTATAAAAGTAATTTGGTGGCGTGAAAATGTATGTACAACTATCTTCAGATTTTGAAAAAGAGGTATTATGGCTTTATCAAGCAATAAGAATGCCCCTTGAAGGGAAAAAGGAATAGAAACGCCAGACTGTTGATTTCATTCCATTTGCTTTAGGTCAAATCTGTTTTACTGATAATTCCCTAGCATTTCTCTTACAGCTTCTGCATGCTTAACTGTAAAAATTTCACTTATCTCGTAGTGCTAGCTTTCTGGAATGCAGGTAAGAATCTGAAAAAGTGAATAGCTATGTTATGAGTAGTCTAAGGAGTGGTTGCAAAATTCCTCTACTGAAGATCATGTATGTTTATCCTTGGGAGCCCCTCAGAATCTATTTGGTCTTATTTTGTAGATGGTGTTTTTTTCTCAGGAGTCGGGCAAAGAGATGCTAGAAGCAGGAAGCAAGAAGCTTTTCAGGGAGGAATGAGAAAAAAATATATCTGCAAAACACGAACACAATAATGTAACACCTTTTCCCATTCTGGAGCTATTAGTGTAAGAGTATAGTCCTATCCACTCAGTAACTCAGAGGGCATCCCTGTATTACAATACAGTTTAGTGGTAGAATTAACAAATTCTGGGTGAGAGACCCAGGTTCGATTTCTGGCCAATGTACCTCGTGCACAGCCACCACCATCTTTTAAGTATAAAGAAAAGTTTTTAAGTATTTGTAAGGGAATGTTAAGGAGCCCTGGTGGTGCAGTGGTTAAGTACTCAGCGTCTAACCGAAAGGCCACTGGTTCAAACCCACCAGCCTCTCTTTGGGAGAAGGATGTGGCAGTCTGCTTCCGTAAAGATTTACAACCTAGGAAACCCTATGGGGCAGTTCTTCTCTGTCATACAGGGTCGCTATGAGTCGAAAATCGACTTGTCATCACCCAACAACAAGGTAATGTTGACGTATGTTTAGTAAACACTCATCAACTGATTATGTGTAAATATTCCTAGAAACTACAGAGCTTCTTTCATAATTATTCTTGATTTTCTCTTTCTCTGATTATTTCTAGGAAATTACTTCACCAAAGAAGCCATCTATTCCCACAAAAATTGCCTGTGTGATGACAAAAACATAGTTATGTTTGTAGCCCGCGTCCTGGTTGGGGATTTCACTGAAGGAAATATGACATACACACACCCTCCTCGCAGATTTTGTGACCCGGAGACTCGGTATGACAGCTGCGTGGATACCAGGTTGAATCCTTCGGTTTTCATCATCTTTCAGAAAGATCAGATGTATCCAGAGTATGTGATTGAGTACACTGAAACAGACAAAGCCTGTGTGATTAGTTAGATACGATGACTGCGGCATCCTAGTGGACCAAATTGAACCCAGTTGCCCCGGATAAGAGTTACACTTTTACATTTTTCGCACCTAGTTATATGTCTTCAATCGGTGGTTCCCAAGCTTGGCTGCCTATCTGAGTCACCTGGTATATCCGTTGCCTAGGGCTGCCGTCAGAAAGTAGGTGGTGGCTTTATACAACAGAGATTCATTGTCTCACAGCTCCGGAGGATGGGAGTCCAAGATCAGGGTATCAGCCATGTTGATTCCTTCTGAGGACTCTGAGAAAGAAACTATTGCCTGCTCTTTCCCAGCTCCTGGTGGCTCCAGGCATTCCTTGACTTGTAGCTGCAGCGTCACATGGCGTCCTTCCTCTGTCTCTGTGTCTCTCCTCCTCTTTTATAAGGACCCGAGTCACATAAGATTAGGGCCCACCCTAGCCCAGTATGACCTCATGTTAACCTAACTGATAACATCTTCAAAGACTCTACTTCCACACAGGGTAACATTCAAAAGTACTGCGTTAGGACTTCAACATATCTTTTGGGGAGACACAATTCAATCCATAACCTACCACTGTTGAGTCGATTTCAACACATAGTGACCCTATAGGACAGAGTAGAACTGCCCCATAGGGTTTCTAAGGCTGTAAATCTTTATCGAAGCAGACTGGCACATCTTCCTCCCAAGGAGAGGCTGGCAGGTTCAAATTGCTGACCTCCTGTTCGTAGCCGAGCACTTTAACCCTGTGCCGCCAGGGCTCCATTCAATCCATTGTTGCTGTAAGGTGCCATACAGTTGGTTCCGACTCGTAACTACCCTATGAACGAAACACTGCCCAGTCCTGCACCATCCTCACAATCGTTATGTTTGAACCCATTGTTGCAACCATTGTATCAATACATCACATTGAGGATCTTCCTGTTTTTGCTGACCCTCTACCAAGCATGATGTCATTCTCCAGGAACTGTTCCTCCTGATAACATGTCCAAAGTATGTGAGACGTAGTCTTGCCATCCTCGCTTCCAAGGAGCATTCTGGTTGTACTTCTTCCAAGACAGACTTTTTCATTCTTCTGCCAGTCTGTTGTATATTGAATATTTGTTGCCAACACCTTAATTCAAAGGCATCAGCTCTTCTTCGGTCTTCCTTTTATTCATTGTCCAGCTTTCACATGCATATGAGGCAACTGAAAACACCATGGCTGAGGTCAGGCGCACCTTAGTCCTCAAACTGATACGTTTCCTTTTCAACACTTTAAAGAGGTTTCTTGCAGCACATTTGCCCAATGCGATGTGTCCTTTGATTTCTTGACTGCTGCTTCCGTGGGCGTTGATTGTGGATCCAAGTAAAATGAAATCCTTGAAAACTTCAATCTTTTCTCTGCTTGTTATGATCATGATGTTGGCTTATTGGTCCAGTTGTGAGGATTTTTGTTTTCTTTATATTCAGGTATGATTCATATTGAAGGCTGACATCTTTGATTTTCATCAGTAAGTGCTTCAAGTCCTCTTCACTTTCAGCAAGCAAGGTTGTGTCATCTGTATTTTGCAGGTTGTTAATGAGTCTTTCTCCAATCCTAATGCTGTGTTCTTCTTCATATCGTCCAGCTTCTCAGATTATTTGCTCAGCATACAGATAAAATAAGTATGGTGAAGTAATACAACCCTGACACATATCTTTTCTGATTTTAAACTAGTCAGTATCCCCTTGTTCTGTTGGAACAACTGCCTCTTTGTCTATGTACAGGTTCCTCATGAGCACAATTAATTGATCTGGAATTCACATTCTTTGCAATGTTATCCATCATTTGTTACGATTTTATGATTCACAGAGTCAAATGCCTTTGCGTAGGCAATAAAACACAAGTAAACATCTTTCTGGTATTCTGTGCTTTCAGCTAAGACCCATCTGACATCAGCGATGATATCCCTTGTTCCATGTCCTCTTTTGAATCGGGCTTGAATTTCTGGCAGTTCCCTGTCGATGTACTCCTGCAACCATTTTTGAATTATCTTCAGCAAAATTTTACTTAATGTGTGATATTAATGATATTGTTCGATAATTTCTGCATTCCATTAGATCACCTTTCTTTGGAATGGGCACAAATATGGATCTCTTCCAGTCAGTTGGCCAGGTAGGTGTCTTCCAAATTTCTTGGCATAGATGAGTGAGCACTTCCTGTGTTGCATCCGTTTGTTGAAACATCTTAATTGGTATTCTGTCAATTCCTGGAGCCTTGTTTTTCCCTAATGCCTTCAGTGCAGCGTGGATTTCTTCCTTCAGTCCTCTCGGTTCTTGATCATATACTATCTCCTGAAGTGGCTGAATGTTGACCAATTCTTTTTGGTACAGGAACTCTGTATTTTCCTGCCATCTTCTTTTGATGCTTCCTGTCTTGTTCAATATCATAGAATCCGTCAATATTGCAACTTGAGGCTTGAATTTTTTCTTCAGTTCTTTCATCTTGAGAAATGCCAAGTGTGTTCTTCTCTTTTGGTTTTGTATCTCCAAGTCTTTGCACATTTCATTATAACACTTCAAAAGTGAAGTTGTCTTCTCGAGCTGCCCTTTGAATCTTCTGTTCATCTCTTTTACTTCATCATTTCTTCCATTTGCTTTAGCTACTCTACGTTCAAGAGCAAGTTTCGGAGTCTCTTCTGACATCCATTTTGGTCTTTTCTTTCTTTCCTCTTTGTAATGACCTTCTGCTTTCTTCATGTATGATGTCCTTGATGTCATCCCAGAACTCATCTGGTCTTCGGTCATCGGCGTTCGATGGGTCAAATCTATTCTTGAGATGGTCTCTAAATTCAGGTGGGATATACGCAATCCACAATACCTGGTAATCTCTTAATCCTGATGCCCAGACCCATTAAATCACCAAGGTGCAGGTGAGAGCCAGGCAGCAGTATGGTTTATAGATCCCAGGTCAATCCCATGTGCAGCAAAGCTTGGGAACCACTGCCTTCGATGCAATTGTTCAAGGCTGATTTCTTAACTTTCTTTAATTGTGCAACCATTCTCTTTGTTTATTGTACAGTGTGGTTTTTTTTTTTAAGGTTAAATTGAATGAAAATTAATTTAAGAAATTTGAGGGAATTCTAAAAATGTCTATTGAAAGAAGGACAGAAGACATTACAGCCTTAGATGGAAGGTCGAAACTGGGGAAAAAATATTTGGGGCAAGCTGGGGAAAAAAGGCAATTTAAATGCAATTACAGACATACCGCAGTCCTGTGCCATATCTTTGTGATGAAACGTTCTAGGCACACACTTATTTATCTCGAAGTTTATTTTCGGGCAGACTCCGTACAGGTTGACTCTTCACTCTGTGTAACAAAAAGCTGCCAAGTGTGGTGCAGAGAAGCAACCAGCTGGAGTTCTTGCCCATTTGGGCTCTTTGTACAATTATGGCAACGGAGATATTTATCTTCTACTTAATATGATTGCAGAGAGGAAATCTTTTTCAGATCAGGCTTTCTGTGTTTTGGGGGGATTGCTACATTCCCAGGTGTTTTGAGAAATGTTGTCTCCTCTCAGCAGGAGAATGAGCTCCAGTAACCAGATTCATACAAGCATAACTTATAAACAGGAGTGCTACTGTAGTCATTCGATGCCACAGATAAGGCTCACCCTTATACTACTAACCAGTACCTACTCCAGTTTCTGTATACAAGTAAATGGAAATCCAGGAGTCCTCCTTGAGTCCCCCTCTCCCTAAACAGTCCCCTCTCATCTACGTGGTCCCCATGCCTAGGTTTACCTCATAAACATCTCTTTATCCCCTTCTAAATTGTCCTCTATTTAGCAGAAAGAATGGACTTTTTTTTTTTTTAAATTAATAATGGTCTTTTAAAAACACAAATGTGATTAAGCCTTTAGGACAGAGTTCAAAATCATTGCTATAGCCCTACATAGCCTCTCCCTCCCTACCCCTGTCGTTTCTTCCAGCCCCTTGGCGCCCCGCTCTTCGCCTAGCTCAATCGTTCTCAACTCACACCCCTGCATTTTTCTTTTTCTTAATGGCAACAACTTTGTAATACCCCCTTTATTACCCTGAAATGCAATTCATAGGTAAAATACTCTCATCAGTCACTATAACAGGGAAATAAAAGGAGTGCGGAAGGCAGGTGCTGGCCCTGCCTGTAAGGAACAAATGTGTACTTCAAAGAAGGTGGGAACTCAGAAGCTATTTTGTTCGATTGGGAAAATCAAAAGGTAGGGATACGAGTGGACATTAGAATAACTAGTGATGCAATAATTTATTTGCATATGGTAATACTTATTTTTATATGATAAAAGAACGAAACAACCTTACTTGAAATAAAGATAATACGCAAGAAAATTTATAGACTGTCGAAGTGAAGAGCACACAGAGCTAGGATATTCTTGCAGACGAGCTATAGTCAGACTAGAATGTCCAGTGAGACATTCAAAATTCGTATAGGGTACAGAGTCACTCTTTATTGTTGGAGACTGTCCAGCGTATTGCAAGATGTTCAGTGATACGTACTGGCTCTCCCACATTAAATGCCAGGGCACCCCCACCCCCAGTCACGGTGGCAACCGCAAATCCTATCAGACTATTGACCCTTTTTAGAAAATATAGATATTTTGTAACATCCCTTTGCTGTCCTGAGAGAATTCATAGGTGATATTTGCACACATGAATTTCAAAAAAATCAATTTAATGCCCAAGGTCTATTATAATGGCGAAGTCAAGGAAAGGAATTTGTAATGACAATTATGTAAATTTCAGGATGTAAATGCTCAGGTATGACTATGCTGTAAAACATCATAAACAGCCATATGTTTACCCTTAGTTGTCATGAACAGGATTGCATTTAAGAGTCGATAAGAGGCTGCCGTGTAAAGAAGTACAGGAAAATGCAAGATTAAAGACTACAAGAAACTCCAGTATTAGGGCACGTCATAACGCCATATACCTTATCTGCATACGGTAAGGGAAAGAGCGGAATTCTCTTACGGAAATAAGGATAATAGGACAAGCCACATTACAGATTGTCCTGATGGCTTGTATCCTCTCAGACGAGCTGTAGGTCCTACACAGATGTCCTGGCGGACATTAGAAAGTCGTATGGGGTACAGAACAGTTCTTCCTCGTGTGGGAACAGCCCCCACACTGCAAGACACCTGTTATCCCTGGCTACATCCACTCAATGCCAATAACAGCCCCCCTGATTATGAAACCAGCAACACGCCCAACAATTTCCAGACTACCACACGTGAGAACCACTGACCTAGTTAATACCTAAGTTAATATCCTTAACCGGTTGCCATGCAGTTGATTCTGACTCATGGCGACCCATGGGTGTCAGAGTCTACCCAGAGGCACTTGGAAGAAAGGCCTGGCAATTCACTTTTAAAAGGGTGAAAACCTTGTGGAGCACAGTTTACTCAGATGCACGTGGGGTAGCCATGATGCCAACTCAACGCCAACTGGTTTTTTTTTCTTTTTTTTACTTCCATGAGGTTTCTAGGTTGTCAGATCCTTGTCTCCCAAACCACAGGTTTTTAAAATACTTTGCGCCTTGCTTTGTTCATTTTTAGCATTTATCTAACATGAAATTGTCTGCTTTTCACTTTAGAATGTAAGCCCCATGTGGGCAGTCTAGATCTATCCAGTTTGTCATGCCACACCCAAAGCCTACCCAATTTTGGTGTTTGATCCAGTTGGTGTCCTACAAATTTTGTTGATTAAATTAAGCTCAACTATTTGTATTTCAGTAGTTAAGTTGGATTTCCTCTGTTCCTCTTCAAGCTTAATCTCAGACCATTTAATAAAAAGAAGTACATACTAATTTTGCTTTGCTGCCTTTCTCTGCTCATCTTCCAAGTACCTCCAGAAAAGATAATCGACCACAGACACCAGTTAATTGAGGGGGCACGCATGACGGGTTTTGCCCCTTCTAGTTTTCACTTCCAATGGAGCCCTGGTGGCGCAGTGGTTAAAGCACTCGGCTGCTAGCCGTAAGGTCATCAGCTCAGCCGCTGTTCTGCAGGAATCTACTTCCGAAAGATTACAGCCTTGGAAACCCTGTGGGAGCAGTTCTGCTCTCTCCCATAGGGTCACCAGGAATCGCAATTGACTCGACAGCAACCCATGTGGTTTTTTGGTTTTCCCTTCCACGGCTCCCTGCCCAGGGAGCAGCAGCCTTTAGCACCCAGCGGGGCAAGGGAGAACGGGGACATGGAGCTACACCTGGTGTCTTGGTGCCCAGTACTGTTGACAAAAATACCACAAGTGGGTGGCTTTAAAGAACAGAAGTTTATGTTCTTACAGTCCTGGAGGCTGAAAGTCCAATCAGGGTCTCAAGCCATGTTGATTCCCACCATTAAAATCCCTAAAAACTGGTGCTCACCCTGAAGGGTGCCTGGCACAGTGTCCTGGGGTGGAAGCCTGTCCCTGGCAACTCAGTATTGGGGGGACCCCACTGTCCCTGCCTGGCCCCATGTCCGGGGTACCCCACTGTCCCTGCCTGACTCTGTAAGGGGGGTGGACCCCACCATCCTTGCCTGACCCCATGTCTGGGGGTACCTCACTGTCCCTGTCTGCCTCTGTGTGGGTTGGCCCACTCTGTCTCTGACTCTATGTGGGGGTGGCCCCCGCCGTTACTGGCCGGCCCTGTGTCTAGGGGTACCCCACTGTCCCTGCCGGACTCCATGTGTGGTGGCCCCTGACGTCCGTGCTAGCACCGTGTGGGGTGGCCCCCGCCGACCTCAACTAGTCTGGGGGGTGACCTCCGCTGTCCCCAGCCGGCCCCATGTGAGGGTACCCCACTGTCCCCGCCATCCATGTGTGGGGTGGCTCCAGGCCCCCTCGCCAAGAGCCTGGCCACCGTCCCGCCCCCCTCCCTCGCAGGCGGGTCCCTCCGCCAGCTGCTGTGGCGGGGTGGAGCCTGCGCGCCTGATCCGAGTCGGTGGGCCTAGCAGGCGGCATGGCGGAGCCCACGCTGTGCTCTTTCCTCACCAAAGTGCTGTGCGCGCACGGCGGCCGCATGTTCCTGCGCGACCTGCGTGCGCACGTGGAGCTGACGGAGACGCAGCTGCGCGCCGTGCTGCAGGCGGCCGGGCCCGCGCTCTACCTTCTGCAGGACGTGGCGGGGCCCGAGGGCCTCCTGCTGCAGGACGCGGCCGGACCCGAGGGCCTCGGCGGCGACGACGCAGCCGCGGCCTGCAGGGTGGTGGCCGTCTCCTCCGCGCGCCTCTGCGCCCGCTACCAGCGCGCCGAGTGCCCAGCCTGCGACCAGCTGCACCTTTGTCGTCGCCACATGCTGGGCAAGTGCCCGCACCGCGACTGCTGGTGAGCGGGGGACGTGGACCCGCGCAAGGGGAACTGGGCCACTCGGAAGGGCCGGGGGGGTTGGGGCCCTGCGTTCGCCACCCCGGCAGCTCCGAGGAGGCCTTCCTTGAGCTCCAGGTCCGTTGTGGAAGGAGGGGCATAGCCTCCCCATCTGGATTTCGTACCCCTCCCCTGCCCGGGGGCCCCCACATCATGGCCGGGTTAATTCAGAGTAGGACTCTGCTTTCCTTTACTCCAGGCGCCCTTTGGGGGGAGTTGGGTACTCGAGGGGAGCCATGGGCCTTGTCCCCAGAAGCTGCCCATTTTCTCCGTAACCACAGAGCTGTGCAGAGCCGGCCTGTGGCTGCGGGTTTGAGAACCTCGAGCTAGTCTGACCCCGAGGAAGCGGAGACATGGCAGCTGGGGGCTGGAGGAGGTTGGGCGTTACTGACTTCTGGAGCTGAGGTTGGAGGTGCCCCCGGACTCTCTATTCCACGCACCACACCCCAGCGACTTCCTTTGTTATTGTAGCCCCCAGAGTGGCGGTGGAGGGCTGCGCCTGTGGTAGCTGTTGGGGCGGAGAAGGCGAAGTGCAGCCCCTACGGTGTCCACTTGAGGTCAAGCTAGGTGTGGTGGGAGGGAGGGACGGGAGCCCTTGACTTAAAAGCATTGTCATTTAAAATGAAGGGAGTTGCTTCAACACAGATTCTTTGTTGTTGCTGTGAGTGGATTGCGACTCATGGTGACCCCATGTGTGCGGACTAGAACTGCTGCATAGTATTTTCAAAGCTGTGACCTTTTGGAAGTGGATTGCCAGTCCTTTCTTCTGAAGCACCTCTGGGTGTGTTCAAACCGCCAACCTTTCCACTTAGTAGTCAAGTGCTTAACTGTTTGCACCTCCCAGGGTGTTTATTAAAAGGCTTTAGTATCTATAGGTTCACAGAAGATATTAGTTGGAAACTGCCCCAGGCAGGGAGTTTGACAGACTGGCCCCTTCATCTGGGCCTATGATGAAGACCTTTGTCTTCTCCCAGGTCTACCTGTACGCTTTCCCATGATATCCACACACCTGGCAACATTCAAGTCCTGAAAAACCACGGGCTTTTTGGCCTCAATGAGGCCCAGCTTCGAATCCTGCTTCTGCAGAACGACCCCTGCCTTTTACCAGAGGTGAGTTGCCAAGGAGTCCCGCTCAGGTGAGGTGAGAGAGAACATCAAGAGTGGCCCACAGGACCATGGTCTTGGGGAACATCTAGTTCAACTGGCATAACACAGTTTATAAAGACAGTGTTCTACATTCTACCTTGGTGAGTAGCGTCTGGGCTCTTAAAAGCCTGTGAGCAGCCATCTAGGATACTCCACTGGTCTCACCCCTTCGGGAGCAAGGGAGAATGACGAGAACAAGATACAAGGAAAAGATTAGTCCGAAGGACTAATGGACCACAGATACCAAGGCTTCCACCAGACTGAGTCCAGTACAGCGAGATGGTGCCCGGCTACCACCACTGACTGCTCTGACCAGGATCACAACAGAGGGTTCTGGACAGAGCTGGAAAAGGATGTAGAACAAAATTCTAACACACAAAAAAAGAACAGATTTACTGACCTGACAGAGACTGGAGAAACCCCAAGAGTATGGCCCCCAGATACCCTTTTAGCTCAGTGGTAAAGTCACTCCCGAGGTTCACCATTCAGCTGGGGATTGGACAGCCCCATAAAACAAAACGGGACTAATGAGGCACGGCAGTCCAGGGACAAGGACTGGAAGGCAGAAGGGGACAGGAAAGCTGGTGATAGGGAACCCAAGGTTGAGTGAGGACAGTGTTAACATGTAGTGGGGTTGTTAACCATTGTCACAGGGCGACGTATGTACTGACTGTTTAAAGAGAAACTATTTTGTTCTGTCAACCTTCATCTACAGTGGGAATAGCAGCACAACTAGAAGAATGTAATCAACATCACTGAATTCTACATGTAGAAGTTTTTGAAATGATGTGTCTTTGGCTATATATGTTTTCACCAAAAAAAAATAAAAGTCCTCCAAGGTCGAGAAGGGAGAGTATTGACATGTCGTGGAGTTATTAACCAATGTCATAAAACAGTATGTGTACTGACTGTTTAATGAGAAACTATTTGTTCTGTAAACCTTCACCTAAAGTACAACAACGACAAAAAATTAAAAAGAGTGGTCCACGGAGGATAGCCTGCGGTGTGTGGGTGGGGCCGCAGCCCAATGCTGATCTTTCCGGAGTCTCTCTGTTGGGCTGTGATGGACAGCAGTGTGGGCCTGTGTGGTATAGAAATAATAACAGTGGCTTTTGGGGGTTTTTTAGTGCTTCTTACTGAATGCTAAGCATTTCACACACCTTAAAAAAAAGAAGCCAGTTGCTGTCAAATCAAGTCATGGCGACCGCATGTGTATCACAGTAGAACTGTGCTCCACGGGGTTTTCTTTTTTCTTTTCTTTTATTGTTGTACTTTAAGTGAAACTTCACATTTTAAGTTAGTCTCTCATACAAAAATTTATACACACATTGTTATGTGACCCTAATTGCTCTCCCCATACTGTGACAGCACACTCCTCCTTTTCACCCCTGATTTCCCGTGTCCATTCAACCAGCTCCTGACCCTCTCTGCCTTCCCATCTCACCTCTGGACAGAAGCTGCCCATTTAGTCTCATGTATCTACTTGAGCCAAGAAGCACACTCTTCACAAGTATCATTTATGTCCCATAAGCCAGTCTAATCTTTGTCTGAAGAGTTGGCCTTGGGAATGGTTTTAGTTCTGGGTTAACAGAGAGTCTGGGGCCCATGCTTTCTGGGGTTCCTTCAGTCTCAGTCTGACCATTAAGTCTGTCATTTTACTAGAATTTGAGTTCTACACCCCACTTTTCTCCTCCATCAGGGACTCTCTGTTGTGTTCCCTGTCAGGACGGTCATTGGTGGTAGCCGGACACCATCTAGTTCTTCTGGTCTCAGGCTGATGAAGTCTCTGGTTTATGTGGCCCTTTCTGTCTCTTGGGCTAATGCTTTTCTTGTGTCTTTGGTGTTCTTCATTCTTCTTTACTCCAGGTGGGTGGGACCAACTGATGCATCTTAGATGGCTGCTCGCTAGCTTTTAAGACCCCAGACGCCACTCACCAAAGTAGGTTGCAGAACATTTTCTTAATAAACTTTGTTATGCCAGTTGACCTAGATGTCCCCTGAAACTATGGTCCCCAGCCCCTGCCCCTGCTACTTTGTCCCTCGAAGTGTTGGGTTGTATTCAGGAAACTTCGAAGCTTTGGTTTAGTCCATCTGTGCTGACCTTCCCCCGTAGTGTGTGCTGTCCTTCCCTTCACCTAAGATAATTCTTGTTTACTATCTAGTTAATAACCCTCTCCTTCTCTCCCTCCCTGCCCTCGTAACCATCAAAGAATATTTTCTTCTGTGTTTAAACCTTTTCTTGAATTCTTACAATAGTGGTCTTATACAGTATTTTTCCTTTTGTGACTAAATTCACTCAGCATAATGCCTTCCAGATTCCTCCATGTTATGTTTCACGGCTTCATCATTGTTCTTTATCGTTGCATAGTATTCCATTGCGTGGATATACCATAATTTGTTTATCCATTCGTCCATTGATGGGCACCTAGGTTGTTGCCATCTTTTTGCTATTGTGAACAGTGCTGCAGTGAACATGGGTGTGCCTATATCTGTTCATGGACGACTCTTATTTCTCTACGATATATTCCAAGGAGTGGGATTGCTGAATCATATGGTACTTCTATTTCTAGCTTTTTAAGGAAGCACCAAATCAGTTCCCAAAGTGGTTGTACCATTTTACATTCCCACCAACAGTGTATAAGTGTTCCAGTCTCTCTGCAACCTCTCCAACATTTATTATTTTGTGTGTTTTGGGTTTTAGTGCTACCCTTGTTGGAGTGAGATGGTGTCTCATTGTAGTTTTGATTTGCATTTCTCTAATGGCTAATGATCGTGAGCATTGCCTCATTTATCTGTTAGCTGTCTGAATATCTTCTTCGGCGAAGTGCCTGTTCATATCTTTTGCCCATTTTTTAATTGGGTTGTCTTTTTGTTGTTGAAGTTTCGCAGTATCTTGTAGATGTTAGAGATTAGACCCTGATCGGATACGTTGTAGCCAAAAATGTTTTCCCAGTCAATAGGTTGTCTTTTTACTCTTTTGGTGAAGTCTTTCGGTGAGCATAAGTGTTTGATTTTTAGGAGCTCCCAGCTATCTAGTTTCTCTTCTGGTGTTTGCGCATTGTTAGTTTTGTTTTGTATTCTGTTTATGCCATGTATTAAGGCTCCCAGCATTGTCCCTATTTTTTCTTCCATGATCTTAGATTTTATATTTAAGTCTGATCCATTTTGAGTTAGTTATCGTGCATGGTGTGAACTATGGATCTTGTTTCCATTTTTTGCAGATGGTTATCCAGTTATGCCAGCACCATTTGTTAAAGAGACTGTCTTTTCCCTCATTTAATGGACTTTGGGCCTTTGTCAAATACCAGCTGCTCATAGGTGGATGAATTTATGTCTGGATTCTCAATTCTGTTCCATTGGTCTCTGTATCTGTTGTTGTACAGTACCAGGCTGTTTTGACTACTGTGGCGGAATAATAGGTTCTAAAATCAGGTAGTGTGAGGCCTCCCACTTTGTTTTTTCTCAAGTAATCCTTTACTTATCCAGGGCCTCTTCCCTTACCATGTGAAGTTGGTGATTTGTTTCTCCATCTTGTTAAAAAATGTTGTTGGAATTTGGATCGGGATTGCATTGTTTCTATAGATTGCTCTGGGTAGAATTGACATTTTCACAGTGTTGAGTTTTCCTATCCATGAGCAAGGTATGTTTTTCCACTTATGTAGGTCTCTTTTGGTTTCTTGCAGTAATGTCTTGTAGTTTTCTTTGTATAGGTCTTTTACATCTCTGGTTAGATTTCTTCCTAAGTATATTATCTTCTTGGGGGCTATTGTAAATGGTATTGATTTGGTGTTTTCCTCTTTGAAGTTCTCTTTGTTGGTATAGAGGAATCTAACTGATTTTTGTATGTTTGCCTTGTAGCTTCATAGTTTGCTGAAATTTTCTATTAGTTCCGGTAGTTTTCTTGTGGATTCTTTGGGGTTTTCTGTGTAGAAGATCATACTATCTGCAAACAGGGATACTTTTACTTGTTCCTTACCAATTTGGATGCCTTTTATTTCCTTTTCTAGTCTAATTGCTCTGGCTAGGACTTCCAGCTCTATGTTGAGTAAGAGTGGTGATAAAGGGCATCCTTGTCTGGTTCCCATTCTCAAGGGAATTGCTTTCAGACTTTCCATATAGGATGATGTTGGCTATTGGCTTTGTATAAATGCCCTTTAGTAGGCTGAGGAATTTCCCTTCTATTCCTGTTTTGCTGAGAGTGTTTATCATGA